TTCACAAGTCCTTCTGATCTGTACCTAGTTTATTAGTGTATGTTGTTACTACTTTGAGGATGTTGTGAATAATTTTGTCATTTATTTTAGCTAGAGTACAAAGATGTAGTTTAGGGTAGAATTTTCTTGGTTTAGTTTGTTTGTTCTGTGAATATCCCTTTAACTACGTGTGCATGCTAATTGTCTTGATTCCGTGTGGTGATTATTGTAAATCCCGTCGAGTGTTAATCCTTACAATTTGTTTGCATTATTGACACTAGATTGTTGCAGTTAGATATATTTCAGCTTGACTAAGTGTTCTCTAATGTCCTCTATAATTGAATAATCATATTTACTTTCTAATTATTTACTCTTTTTAGTTATAGATAGGTGAGATTCCTCTTTACAATTATAGTATTTAGTTAGTCATCAAATAAGGTTTTCACAAGTGGTATTTTACTTTCTTGCTCTTCTCCTCATCGTTCATGGTCACAGATTTCCACTCTCAAGTTCATGGTCTACATGTACTAACCCAAGAATGTTAAAAATACATATGTAGAAGTTGGCATAGGATATTTTGAATTATTGTTGTAGCATAAATGAAAATGCAAATTGGTACCCTACTAATTCCATTTTCAGTGTGAAAGTGTGAAACATTAAAACTACCTTAAATTAAAAGTATTTCTGTACTTTTAAGGTACCAAATTCACCATGTCAAGTTATATTTTGTTTGTGTCATATCCTTCCATATACAACTTGACTATAATATAGTGACATATATACCATACCATTCAATCTGTTGTACCTATATGATATTAGTAGAATGTTTAAGAACTGTTTATAAAGTGGTGGTATCGATCAAGCTATGATTTTCTTTGCATAAAATAAGGAGTCTATGATTTTTACCGTCCTTTAGATTCCTCTTCAAACCTAGCTAGCTCTAGATTTTCTACAACAATCATCATTTACCCTAGTGCCGCAAAGGTTCCCACCTACAGTGGGGTAAGGGGGGGTCGGATGTACGCAGTCTTACCCCTGTACTAAAGCACAAAGAGATTGTTTCTGAATGACCCACAATGAATATCACTTCCAAAATTGCATTAATTTAGAGTATTTGTTTCCTTGATTTTATGTTATGCTAATGGCCCTGAATAGGTAAATGTATGGTTCAATGTTTCCCTAGGAGAAAACGTAAGACCATATTTCTGCTTTTAAAATTTTTCCTTTAAGTCATATAAAAACTAGAAAGCAGAATGTAATAATGAGCCCATAGCTTCTCATTTTCTTCATTTTTCTGTCATGTTTTTCTAAACAATTACTCCCTCCGTCCCCTTTTAAATGTCCCGTTTTACCATATTGGGATGCCCCTATTTAATTGTCTCATACCTTATTTGGTAAACTTTGTGTGGCTCAAAATCATTCTTACTTTATTCTTACTTTATCAATTAATATCAACCACACAAACTCACTTTTCTTAAAACTCGTGTCACCCTCTCCCGTCCCATTTAAAAGGGGACGGAGGGAGTACCATTTTTGTGTCTGTCATATGTCACCATGACAGATTAAAAGAAAGCACTTCATAGTTCTTTTCTGCAGGTTAGCTTGAGGGAACCTTTCGTGTTGGTCCTGGTGATGAACGAATGGAGATAATTCGATCTCTTGTGAGTATTTTCTTATTGTGAGCTCAAGGATGCATTTAACACCCTGTTACTAAACTAATATAATCGCCCAACCGGTTAACACTTAAAATAAATGTCTTTTTTCATTTGCTTTTTTATCTGATAAAATGATACCAAAATACTTTTAATATTTACCCCACACTCACTCAAATCTCTGTTTACTCATATCTATCTATACTTTTCCTAATCTTTCTACTCCACTCAACCCACACTTCTTCTCTTCTGTGACACATGTAGCTCACTCAAATCTCCATAATATATCAATTTGGATATCTCCAAACCAAACAGGATTAGGAAAGTTTGTACTACGTATCAAAGAAGAGAAGTGTGGATTGAGTGGAGTAGAAAGATTAGGAAAAGTATAGATAGATATATTGAGGTTAAGGAAGAGATATACATCGTTCACCAGAGGAAGAAACTGAAAACGCTATTGGCATATTACCCTTTTATTATATCATTATACAATTAGCCAAAGAATGTAAAATTAAGGGGTTTTAACTATTATCATTTTTATAAGAGGATTAGCATGCATGGTATCGATGAACACCCTATATATAAGATATGTCTCTCTCATTTGTAGTCTTATATGCCTTTTGTAATTTAATCCCTAATAATCTGTGTTATTGGGTGGTTAACAGTTGGGCAGTAAGCCAGTTACACAACATTTGGGCATATGGTGATTGGTTCTAGGCTCCTAGCCTTGCTACTGCCCTTATGTTGCAGACCATTGCTTCAATTGGGGTTCAATTTATCTACTGCAAATCATTGCATGGGTAACTTCCATTTAAAGTGGCAGAGGAGTTTACAGGTGACTACGTTTGGTCTTCAGATATACAGTTCATTTGATTATGATTGTTATCGGTGTCAGTTATACTTTCTGGTCAACTAGGGTATTCACTTTTTGTCATTATTCTTTGATCCGGAAAATGATTGAGGTTATTATGTACTTGAGGCTGTCTTATATGTTGATTCAGCTCTGTTCAAGGAGCATCCAGAACTAAAAAATGCTTCGGTTCGAGTCTTCTTCCAAATAATTCACCAAGGTACTAAAGTTGTGTATTCTATTACATATGGAAATGTTAGTACTAAAGTTGTCTATACTATTGTTTGTCATTCTCGTGCAGACTAACCACATGGAAGTGCTTCGGAAACGAAGACAATGCTTAATAAGGGATAGGAGATCAACTCTTTTCAGTACAACCTCACCAGTCCCCATCTCCCTTTACATTCTACAATATTCAGCCCATTAGCAAAATGGTTAGGGTTAGCCACGAGCTCAAAGGAGCACCGGAGAATGGCGAGACAGAGCGTTCCTCATCTTTCTTCTTTCCCTTCCCTTGAACTTCTTATGTAAGTAACTATGTTTCTGCTTCTTCCGTTTTCTCCGTTTGTCCCAAGCATATCTCAATCCATTTTTGAGAATTAGATAGAACTTGGTTATCATCTCTGTGCATTTTGTTATTAGTGCTTCACATTCTTCTCTAAGCCCTTACATCTAAATCACATTTCGTTCTTCAATTATACCATTTTCATATTCATTTTCAATTCTAAACTGTTACATTTTTCAAACACTAATTTCTTGTAATGATTCTAGGGATTCAAATGATTTAAATCAATGTATTATCAACTCTGTCTTTTTGTTGTTCATCACAAACCCTCTTATATTCCGAAATGCAGATGTCACCCGTTTAATTTGTATTTCATTAAGTACTAAAAATGGGTTTGTTTTGATAGTAGTTTCTTTTCAACTGAAATTGTACTGTAAACACATCCATTATATAGGAACTTCAGTCCTCTATTCAAGATGTTTTATTGATTTATTCTATTGTCAAGAAGATTTACAGAGTTATGACTTTTATATTCAAAATCCTTCAATTCTCTTTCTAAGCTTTTAGAATGCTTAAAATATAATTCTCACAGAAAAATGCTTATTTCATTTCTTTTAAAAGAGTGTTTGTATAATTGTATTGGTTGGTTTAGTTTACGTATGGCTCATTTTGAAGATTACAAATGAGTTGTTTGTAGTCAAAAGATTTAAAGAGTTGACTACTTACGAAGTGAAACTAAGAAAGACATATCAGTATTCATTCTAGGCTTTCCTAAACATGAATATTTTTTGGTCAAACATATACGAAAACATTATATATAAACAATTTTATGTTTATGAAGTTGATACCTTAGTATTTTTAAGAACTAACAAACTCCACTCCATGGTCAGTATTTGTACTTAAAATTAGTTTCCATAGGCGCATAGACCCTTTGGTAAGTGGTTGAGATTAGAGATGGAAATATTATTATTCATACCGTTTTCATATTTTCATCGGCGCTCAGTTGGTCTGATTTAAAAGAATGAATTATTGATAATCGTTGAAAATGTAATTAGTTTGGTTTGTGGAGTTAGAGGGAAAATGAAAAGAAAGTTGAGAAGCTCTAAAAGGGCCGTGAGAGCATCTGTTTGTATGTTTATGTGGCTGGGCATGGAAGAAGGTTGATCATGGGATAAAGTCATTGTGTGTGCGGGGATAGGGGGAAGAGCAGTGAGTTGCACAATAGTGTAGCCTTGAAAACTGACTTGGTGTAGGGATCAGAGAAATGGAAGTGTAATTGTACTTGATATAATTTTAATAGTCATTTTCTTGTCCAGCCGGCTTGACGGGAACCGCCGTCCGGTCGAGGGCATTTCGGGCACTTCCCGATGGAATTTTTTGATTAAATTTTTTGAGCATGTTCTTCATGAAGTCTAGTTTATCCATACCAAATTTCAGCTAAAAATTCAATCGGGAAGGCACTCAAATAATTTCTTGAAGTTAACTGGGAAGTTCATATGCTCAAACTTCCCAGTTAACTTCAAGAAATTATTTGAGTGTCTTCCCGATTGAATTTTTAGCTGAAATTTGGTATGGATAAACTAGACTTCATGAAGAACATGCTCAAAAAATTTCATCAAAAAATTCCATCGGGAAGTGCCCGAAATTCCCTCGGCCGGATAGCGGTTCCCGTCAGGCCGGCTGGACACGAGACCTGAATAACATGGGGAAAAAGTGTTGCATATTATTTTCAAAAAAGTGTTGCATATTATTTTCTTTCAAAGTGTTGAATGATAGTATTGCATTTGAGTTATTTATGCACACTTATATTCAACGTTACATAACATGGGGAAAAGTGTTGTGTATGAATTTATGCAACGAGACCTGAATAATGTTTGTAAAAGTGTTGTTTTAGCCTTTTGTAACACTTAAGGTGTCTAATGTAACTTTATAGGTGTTGCAAATGGTTAATTTTGTAATAGTGAAAAGTTGCGTCATACAAATATTTGTACAATAAGCATTGTTTGTACGTGGCCCGCCCTATTGTCTAAAAATAAATAGTTCTTTCACACTAAAAAAACATAACCACGAATTGAAATGAAATTTCACAATATTTATACTATACGGAGTATTATTCAATCAAATTTATGTGTCATAAAAGAGTGAGGCATTATGATGTGACATAAGTATGAAGAGCTAGCCTATTTTAGAGGAATAGGTTCAAATAGAATAGACTGCATACGAGTTTGAGTCTCGGAAGTCTTGATCCCATGCCCATCTCCATATTGGTACATGAATTGAGCAACTCTAGCAACATTCGTTGCGACTTCAATGGATCTTTTCGAGAAGGATTTATCTTCAAATCCAATTTTATTCATCTTCTTCCATGCCTCATCTATTTGAAGATTGATATTTTCTTGAGCGTCATCCATTGAGACTCCAGCACAATTCATGTAACATTCCACAGCTTTTGGTGTATCGCCTCTTTTCATCTCATGCTGATATTATAGAAGAAATTCCAACATGTAATATAATAACAATATAATCATATATGAAGAAGATAAATAACTTATAAAGTACAAATTTCATAAATATAATTAAAAACAACACGTTTGACCATCATCGTTTATCAAATCTATTAAAAACATGAGTCACTAACATCTAAAAAATAAGTATTAACGTAACATTATTCTTTATTCTTTTTATAAAACTGAATATATGATACTCTTATATATGCCCACCATGTTTTACTTGTAAGCTTACATTTCGAGATTGTTGAATTTACTAATTTAGCAAACCAAAATTCATCAAGGATGTGCTTGGGAGTCTGTTTTGTAATTGGGAGGGGAAGACATGTGAGGTTTGGCGACCCTTCTATTTGTGTGTTTGGGAGTACAAAATGTAGAGGAACAGTTTTGGAAGGTTTTTGTGCCCCTCTAAAACCCCTCAAATGTCTAACTTTTAAATTCCTCCAAAATGGTGGATTTCGAAGAATCACTAGCTAACTAAATGATAATTTAAGCTAAATTCAAAATGAATATCAATTCAATTACTTGAATGCACCATATCTTAGAAATGATTTTAATTATAATTTCTTCAAAAAACTCTCGTTTTCGAAATTTACTACTTCAAAATAAGAAGAAAAGGGTTTCCCCACTTTTCCTTCCTTTCCCCCAAACTCCGAGTTTTAATTTGACACATCACCAACGAACTCATGCAAATAAGGATAAAAATACGCATGTACGTACAGGTGATGTTCCTTTGTCGTTTGCTAAGCGGAGAACTAAAGATGGGAAACGAGCAATGTCATGATACTCTGATAGTCGACGCAAGGCTTCTTCATCCAAAGGGTTGTCCACACAAACGAAAGCATGCACTATTATAAGAGCACCCGATATTGAAATCCATGCATTTTCAATGTATTCTTTGTATGTCGGCGTGTACCCACTGTGGAACCACTTTGCTTCTTGTAAGTGTGATTTGCAAAGATCTATCCACTGATTATACATCACGAATTTGTTCAGTGTCATAATCAGAATTAGTGAAAATACTGTACATGTAAATAAATTAAAATATGATCATATATACAATATACATAGTACTTCGTATTGATTACTAGTTCTTGAAATTACCGTTTTTCTTAAATAACGGGATACAAGAATGCCTTGTTCTTTACAAACGTCATATGCCACTTCATTAACAAAGTTGTGGACTGCAAAATAACTAAGCTTCATGTACTCGGGAAGATGCGCAATGTTTGTTGTATCACTCCATCTAAATCGATTGAAGAAGTAAAAGTGATCAAAAAAGTAAAAAAAAGAAGAAGTAAACTTAACAAATCATACCAGACTTAAACAGACTAAACTTAAACAAAACTAATCAGATCTCGACACTTGTAAATTACACATACACCAGACATCTATCAAACAAATCAGTTCGACACTAGACTTTGACAGTTGTGAAATACACATGGTTCAGACATCTATCAAATAGATCAGACGAACATACCAATTGAGACCAATCCAGATTTGGATTTGGATATATCAGACCAGACAAAAAAATCCAGTTTAATAAAAAACATCCTATGTTAGTTTTTATGCTATGTTTAGATTTGGATACCACCTAAAAAGTCAACCACATAAAAGAGTAATTAGCTCAAACCATACTTATTCTGATGAGTAAGTAGCTCCAACCTTACTTACACATGCATGTTATCAAATGAGCTCTTAGTTAATGAGGTTTTATATACCATTTTAATAACCGTTACGTCTCAAGAATGACATGCCAAGTGTCAACATATATACGTCTTTATAGAGTATATATACTACGTATGTTTTTTTAATATGTACGTCAAACTTATCGTTACATATTTACATTAACGAAATGTATAGCCTTTTTTTTATTTTTCTGTAAGCTTATCAATTATGTGTGTCCAATATACTACTTCGTACTATAATACATCGAAATGCATAATGCTAACTCAATACAAATTTCGCTAAAAATACAAGTTGTATTTTTTTTGGGCCTCTCTTTATAGTATAGTTCGTATGTCCAATACTTCAATGTTAAATGCCAACATCCTTAATTGAGATGAGTTTCGAACTTGTGACCTCCTCCTTGAGAGTGTCACAGTAATGTCATCGAACCACAAGCACCGGCCTGGCTGATAGCAAGTTGTGTATTAATCACTAAAGTGTCATACACTTTATTTAAAAAAAATAAGGTTATTAAGTTGATATAATACTACGTATATCCTAGTTATATTTAGGCTGTACAACCGCCGCCATTTCTCCCAAACATTAATATCAACAATTCATTTGTTCTATATTCGTTTTATTCCTGAAGTATATTCCTTTTTTGAAAGTAAGTATTTGATTTTCCTTATAAACAAATTTTTAGTGATTCGCAATGGCAAAAACATTTCTTTTTGCACAGTGAAATTTTATGAATTGAGTTGAGCATTCTATAATGAATAATGTTGTTTGTACACGTTTTTTATACACGCCATTTTATAGGTACGCCGGCCAAATTGATTGTACACAGACAATTATTTTTTGTTTTGTGAAGAAAGTTGTTTTTGGCACCGACAAACTTTTGTTGGTAGAACATGAAAAGAAATTAACAGTGCCAAAACCAATTCTCCTCTCAAAATGAAAAACAAAAAAACATGTAAGGGTACATACCTTTGAATGACATCCGTGAAGACTTGCAGTTCATCCAAAGTCCCATAAACATCATATATATCATCAATTGTGCAAAGGAGACAATTAAGCTTTGCCTCAACTCTTCTGGCGTTTGAATACCTGGGGGAGTTAAATATTCCTACCGTCCAAAAGAAATTTTCTACTACTCTATCTCTCACAAAATTCAATCTTTCTACAATATATGAACTCTTCCACCACCTGCACTCATAATATACCAAATACCTTAATAAAACTTAGTTAATGTTAATTAAACACTTGATTTGTACAATATTTATTTTTTAATATAATTTTAGACAAAAGTGACATGTATATTAGTAACAGAGTTTCCCAAGATAAAAATATGAATTGTTATATTTTTGGATAAAAATATAATTAGTCATTGTGTACGAGTAACTGGACAAGAGTCATTATAGTGTATTTTAGAGTGACAAGTTATTGATATAGATGATGAGTCACTAGGAACTAGTCACTGAATATGTCATTTTTTTGTAAAAATTTAAAATAAATCATTTTTTGTCTTTTGAATTTAATTTAGTAATATTCACGAAAAAGGGTTAAAAGTAGACAGATTATATTGTGTACTTAATTTATAGTTCATTTAGAATATAATTATTTCTACTGTGATTGACGGTTTATGAAATGCCGGTGACAAAATTAATTACAAAAATTGACCAAAATAGGAGTAAAAATATTTGTGCCTTATTATAAAGACTGACATGTTTTTATTAACTATTCCGTATGTAGGAGTAATTACTGTCTTTGGTCGTATCAGACTTTTATTCATGACACTCTTTGTCAAGCTTGGCGGTAATTGCTCCTATTTAGGGTGGGGGACATAATAGTCCTATTTTGGATTCTAAATCATTTTTACTCCTATTTTCAAGGATTTCCCTAATTAATTATAGTGTAAGCTTGCCCCGCTGAGAAAATTTTGTGGACAAGTGATTTTAAGAAGTTTTATTTTAAAATTATGTAAGGTATTTTTAATTTGATTGAATTTTTTTCGATCTTATATGGTATGACATAGTCTAAATTGGTCTGGTCATGTGGACGTCTTATTTATGTGTATTTTTATCTTTCAAAGTCTCATCTTATATGACATGTTTAAGTCCGATTTAGCCTTTTTATGTCTGGCTAGGCTTATTTTAGTCTTGTTTGGTGTGGGACAGAAAAGAGTCCAAAGTACAAGGTACTCCGTATTTGGTATATTCATGTGGTCAAGTAGTCTTTGATACGTAGTACTTCGTATATACTAGTACTATCGCATTTGACATTCAAAAACTAAAAAAAACTATCCCTTTTAAAATAGAGTTGTACATTCTTCCAAAAAATAGTTTTACATTTATGTGTCCACATTACATATTGTGTCCACATTACATACTCCCTCCGTCCCCGAAAGAAGTTCTTCATTTGACTTTCACACACTTTTATGCAAGTAAACTTACCAGGGATAAATGTTACTGTTTTGACACTGTTTCGACACTGTTTTGCACTGTTTGGCACTGTATTGATGTAGATAACTTTCCATTTAAGGAAATGGGAACTTAAATTAGGGACATCCAAATAAAGAAAGTGAGAACTTTTTTTGGGGACGGAGGAAGTATTTACCATACCTACCTTGACACGGATTTCAATTCATGTTGGTGCAGAGTTTGAAAGAGATTGAAGTCCAGTTTAGCGAATTCCAAAAAGAGAGGATTATGGTTCGGTTTTGCTTGGTATAAGTGAATGTTACTGCTGGCCTCCAGCCTCGGCACCCTCCAATGCAAAGGCATTTCCAGCGCCCGTTGAACGGCCGCCAAAAGGTTTGGGTCGGCGGTTCTGAAGCCGGCGGCCGCCTGTTTGAGATGTTTGGTGGAGAAGTCTCTGGCCAAGTCCAACGTGGCTTCACCTTCCATGGATAGAAAGGATGCTTCATATAAGCTTAGTAATCCCTTGGTATCTTCGCAAATGTCAGCCTTGAAATTGCCTCCACTTCCCTCCAGGAAACCATCAAACGCATCTACTCACATTCAAAGAATTCAATCATGATCAAAGTTTTATTTGACTCGAAACAAGTTTAATCTGGTCGGGTCTCATCATTCATTGATTTCATTCCCTATTAACTAAGTTCTCTATCTTTTATTTTTTGCAGTAGATGACTAGATTCTTTAATAATCAAAATAGGTAATGTAATGTATTTTTCTAGATGAATTAATTGAAAAGTAATTCTTTGTTATTTATAGAACTTTATTGTTATTATGAAGATAAAATTTTAAACAGGGAAATATATTTAAACAATATCAACAATAATCGATCGACCAATAATATGTATAGTTTGGAAATCATTGTTACGTAGTACCGAGAAGTGATCAGGTCCAGCCGGAGGGACGGGAGGCGCCGTCTGAACTCCGCCGTTTGGGGCGGTTCCCGGTAGAATTTTTTGATGAAATTTTTTGAGCATGTTCTTCTTCAAGTCTAGTTTGTTCATACCAAAGTTCAGCTCAAAATTCGACCGGGAAGGCATTGAAATCATTTTTTGAAGTTGACTGCGCCAAAATATACATATAAAAATGCAGTCAACTTCAAAAAATGATTTGAATGCCTTCCAAGGTCAAATTTTGAGCTGAAATTTGGTATGGACAAACTAGACTTGATGAAGAACATGCTCAAAAAATTTCTTCAAAAAATTCCACCGGGAACCGCCCCAAACGGCGGAGTTCGGACGGAGGCTGGACCGGGGAGGGCTGGACCTGATCTTTTTTGACGTAGTACATACCCAATTTGTTCGAATATAATATATAGTATAACGGAAATGATACAAACAACTTTAATATATGTGCGGAGTATTTTTTTAATATACTCCTTCCGTACCGAAATGAAGTTTCTGATTCGACCTACACATATTTATGTAAAATACAGTTTTGTTTTTATTTTTCAAATATACCCGTGCATTAATCAAATCAAACAAAAAAGGGTAAAAAGTATGGATAGTGATGGCTTTTTTATTAAAGGTGACTTCCTTTTATATAAATGAAAATTTCTTTTTTGGAGAATCCTTTAAAGGAATATGTGATTTTTTTTCGGTACAGAGGTAGTATATTATTAGGAGTTAGGTATAACGGTGATAGCATATTATGCCGATTCAACTTCAGAATTTTAGTAAACTCGTGTACTTTTAATCTTACTAGATTGGTTATAAGAGTATTTTTCATGCGTGTGAAACAAAATTTTCATGTTTTTTAATGATTCTAAGTTGTGCAAGTATGGTGTGGCCTGATCTAGCATGTTACTCCCTCTGACCCCAATTAAGTTCCTGGATGAATTTCACACATTGCATATTAAGGAATTGAATATACTAGGGGGTCAATTTTATTGTTTTGACACTGTTTCGACACTGTTTGGCACTGTTATGCACTGTTTTGCACTGTTTGACACTATTTTGATATAGATAATTTGCCAAATAAGGAAATGTATTGAAGTGAGAACTTAATTCAGGGACTGTCCAAAATGGAAAGTGAGAACTTAATTAGGGGACGAAAGGAGTATTATAGTGTAATACTTCTGGACGTACCTGCCAAGTTGTACACGCCCTATGTATTCACCCACTTTGTCGGTGCACAAACAATTTTTTTATTTTTTAAGTGAATTGTGTGTGACACAGACGATTCACTTTTATCTGTGTCATATACATACTAAGTATAATTCACTTCACAAATATGAAAAAAGTTGTATGTACACAAAAGAAGACGTGTACACAGGGGCAGTTCCAAGGGGTCAGGGTAGTCAGCCCTCAGCCGACACCCCTGAAAGTTTTAGTATATAGAGCACTGGAATGCTTTTGATTTGATATATTTTGGCTTCAGTAACTCATTACAAGTAAAAGATTATGACTCCTGGAAAATCGGCACTACCTCAACTTCCCAATACCATCATCTCCGACTATTGGAAAACAATGCCAACATGTGTCACTAATGCCATCTTCATAGAAATTTTAGAGAGGAAGTGGTCCAGCCCAGCTGGTCGCTGACTCACTCTCTCTTATGCGAAGTCCCAGGTTCAATTCTCAATGGAGTGAGATTGATCCCAGTTTACCCCAGACCCCCCAAACCCCCTCCCCCTGACGCCCCCTGGGGTAAAAAAATAAAAATAAAATAAAAAGTGGAATTTTAGAGAAATATTTGACATTTTAAAGAGTAAAAATGTCATCTTCATGGCTTATCGGGAAAAATGGCATTTTTACATAAAATAGCATTTTTTTTCTCCGATAAGAGGTGACATTACTAGGAGGTGGCAGATGTTGTGGGAAAGGCCTCCATATTTTATTTTTTATTTTTTATATGTTTTATCTATTCTTTATTTATTTTAAAATTTTATTATTTTCATTTATAAATTTTCTTAATTTTTACTCCTATTATTTTATTAATTTTTAAAATATTTTACATTTTTATAATTTTTTACGATTTTATTGTAAATTAAAATATCTTTTATTTTTAGATTTTTATATTATAAATGAAAATACGATTTTTCGATTAAACTATGGTAATGGTAGAATAAGAAGATAAAGTATACTTTCATCCAATTTGGGACCATAAACAATATAGTCCTACTTGTGCATTATATTTTTGGATTAGTTTAGTTCTATTTAAGACTATTTTCCCTATACAAATATATCAATTCTATATATAACTCTATTAGTATCATTTAAACTACCGTTTATGTAAGGTTCAAATGAAACATTCAACTTGATTTTTTAAAAATGATCCACCTTTACTATTTCATATTTAGTTAAGTTTTGACTCTAGTCCCTGAATCATTTAACTTGCTCCGTTACTGCGTATACAAAAGGAATTATTGTATAATACGAAGTATATATATCTATTGTACTCCGAATCATTTTAATCTCATCTAATCTAATTTGATTTCATCATTACATTTAATTTGTTCGAGTAGATTAATGTTGAACTCATGGATGTAATTCTAAGTCTAATCTCGCTTGATCGAAAGTGTTGACTTGTTGAGCCGTAAATCTTATGCGATTAATTCATTAAATGAAATTTAAATACATAAAAAATCAAAGAGTATAAGATCTAAATGAAAAATTCTGTGTGTGCACGTCTCGTGTAAACACATCCATATTCACGCATCATTTTGTCTGTGATATCGAGATAAAATTTGAAATTATTGATCTTGTATAACAGGTAAATCGTTTTAAAAATCACACAAGTTGTTTGGAACACAAATAAATTTGGACGTCTACACCAAACCCCTTTTTATCTAAATTCATGACAATTTGACTAAACAAGGTATACCTTGAGAGGGACAGGAGCCATTTTGCCTGAACAGTCTAAATTTGAGAGCTGTGGAATAGAGATTATCTCTCCCCTTTTGGCTGCAACCTTTACTTCTCATCAAAGCTTCCGTTATTTCATCCTCAAAATGGTAAGCCAATCCCAGCCTTTGCAATTCATCAATCACCTCCATTTTCTCCAATTCTTCCATCTCTTCATTATTCAGCATGTTTTGAACCTTTTTCTTCAACTCATCATGTCTTGTCGTGTATCCCTCATCATCCTGCATTATTATTATCATCATTATTTTCAGAAAAATATTTGGTGTACACCATTTTGTGTACACTATTCGCACACCCTGTCTGTCTACGCGGACAGAGTTGTCTATATATATACAGACAAATCTGTATTTCGGAGAGAGTTGCCTATATACAGACAACTTTGTCTGTGTAGACGGAGAGTATATGTGAATGGTGTACACAAAATGGTGTACGCTACACATTCATCTTATCATTATTATTATTATTATTATTATTATAAGAATATACTTAAAATATTGTTCGGGGATTGTTTGAAGTAATGGAAACTAGCTAGGTACAGATAATAAGGAATTAAATTGTTAGATGTACTCTTTCTCATAATAGACTATACGTATGTAGTAAATAATAGTATTACTGTATAGTTGTTAGTGTTGATGGACTGAAGGTATGTGTAATCCCAAGTAGGAGGCTCATAATTCCCAGATCTTCTGCTTATTGTTGTTGCATGACTACACATGACACTAAACGAGGACCTTTGATGCTGAGCTGCTGCTGCTGATCTTTTAGAAGGTTGAAGGCCATTACCATGAAAGATGCATACTGAAGCAGGCAGCGAAATGAGTATAGTCATAATTTATTGGACAATTCAAGAACATGTATCTCTCTGATTTCTTTTGTATATATAGCACAACCAAATAATTTGAAGACTGAATGTTTTCTAGTTTTGGTTCGCCACATTTTATAGGTAGATAGATACTACATACTCCCTGTCCCATTGTAGTTAGCTATCTTTGACTTTTCGAGTCAAAAATGCTAGACTATGACCTATAATATACGTACCGAGTATTTATATACGAAAGCATATACCTATAATATAAAAGTGAAATGAAAAATGTTCGTTATTACAAATACTACTCCAGTCACGATCGTTGAGCGCTCTACGTCACCAGCTCATGTTCTTCATTGCTTCGTTTTTTGCATAAAGTTTGGTTTGCTTCTCGGCATGTGTCCCGTCGTTTTGGTCCGGCATTTCACTGTGGCCTAGTTTGTCTTCGTTCGTTTCCGAACGGGGGTTTGAGCGTTGTTTTCGACATCGGTTCCTGTTCTTTGTGTTCTTTATGTGCTCCATAGTGTTTTATTCGTCCAGTTGTGTATTTTACAGCTTGTATGTGGCTTCTCTTCTTTGATTTTTTGTCTTGTTACAGTGACTTTGTTCATCATGAACATGATTGTCATGAATTATAGTATGGTCTCTGTAGCTGAGGAGGAGAACAAGGGCTTGGTGCTCGAAACAGACCCGACAGGGGGTACTGGTGAGGATGATGAGAGAACTTGCTTTTCAGCTATGGCTAGAGTGACTTCAGATAAACCTACTCGTTCCATTTCGGGGAATCTCTATTGATGAGATAGGTGAATCCAAGTTTCTTCTCCTGTTTTACCATGAAGGAGATATTAGCAGAGTCATTGAGGAAGGGTCTTGGTCCTTTGAACAAAACCTAGTGGTGATTAAGTGAGTGGGGGTGTACTGATAAGCCCCTTGAAGTCTTGTTGGATGGTGCAGACTTTTGGGTTCAGGTGCACAACTTACCGTTAGGGTATATGAGTATATGACGGATAAGACAGCTCGTGGGATTGGCAACAGTATTGGGTCTTTTGTTCAACTGCATGAACGCTCTCTTGGACAAAAACAGAGATTGGTTTTGCATATTAGAGTAACCATTGATATCAATGTGGCTTTGACTAGGCGCTTGCAGGTACAACAAGAGGGAGATAATTGGATATGGGCGGATTTTTTATACGAGAGACTCCCGAATTTCTGCTTCTGGTGTGGGATACTTGGCCATGCGGACCGTTTCTGACTACTAATCCACACAGTGGTCCTTGGATTGGTGAGAAGCCTTATGGGTCGTGCTAACATGAGGCGGGGTGGTGTACACCCAGAAATCAGGTGGCTGATTCCCAGCAACAACAGGTCTAGTCACAAAATAGATGATGGGGAGATATTGGGCTCGTCGAGCAGAACTATAGTTGATTAGGGAAGCTATGTGGTGGAAGGGAGTTGCTACTACACCGGAAGAATCAAGGAAACGCAAGGTCATTGACATGGTTAATCTCACAGGGCAAGGGAGTTGCTACTACACCGGAAGAATCAAGGAAACGCAAGGTCATTGATATGGTTAGCGAAGACGATGTTCAAGCAAACATGGATATTGATGGTGCCCATTGGTGCGGATCCAAAACACTTGCGGGTGGTGGTGTTGGCTTGAGAGCACTGCCAGTGATTGGGGATCTTTGTGATGTGAAAGTGGGACCTTTGGTGGGGGCTAGTCAAACCACTCTTTCCTTGCCAATGGTGAGAAAAACTGTATATTGTCTTTCTTATTTTTGTTTGCCGCTTCATTACTCTTCAGTTACTTTTGACTTTCAATTTAGTAGTTGATGCAGCATTGCTATTAGTGGAGTCTACCACATTGCGGGATTAGCGAGTTGGACCGCTCTTAAGAATGATTCTCACTCTGAGTCTCATCCCAAGGTAGCCTTTAATATGGCGATTTTGTATCTGAGTCTCGTTATTAATAAGAATTGAATTATATTTTTGCCAAAGATGTATCCGCATTACGAAATTGTCTACAAAAAAAAGTACACCTAAAATTGATCCTAAACTGACCTCGTTATGTACATTCTCGGATCTATGTAGTAAAAATAGGGCCGGGGAGCAAACCTGTCACATGACCGGGTCACATGTCAACCCGGACCCGAGTGGGTCAACCCAGTCAAAGCTAGAAAACCAATCAATATTTATATAATAATAAACATATACTTAAATATATAACTAAATTAAAAAGTAATTATACTTATAACAATGAGCTAATGATAACATTAGGTCAGCATTTAAAACACTAATAATATTTCAAATATAATTTTGGTCTCATTAGGCTTAATAATATTTCATATATAATTTTGGTCTCATTAGGCTTTAGAATAAATACTGTGATTTGTTATTTGTATTGTGCATTATAATATACTCGGTACTTCATGATTTGATATAAATTTTTTCTTAAATAGATATACAAATATATCATATAGTTTTTCCATTTTGGATATTGAAGTTGCAATTTATTTGGTTTAAAAATGCTTAGAATAATACAAAGAAATTGGAAAAAAAAAACTTCGAAACCAGGTTTTTCCAGGTTGTCCTGATTTTTTTGGTCCGCGTCCGGACCAGGTTTTTCCAAGTAAACCAGTTTTTTCCGGATTTTTAACAAACTGAACCGGTTTTTAATCTGTGGCCTAATATATACGGAGTACTACTAGCGGTGGGCGTAGCTCAACTGGTAACGAGGGAGTGCCACAAGAGTTAGGTCTCGGGTTCAAATCCCGGCAACTGCGATGAGGGGTTACTATGCTGAAAAATACATAAGACTTCTGCAAGTACCGGGGACAGAGTCTCACTCTCTGTCTGTCAGATTGTGATTATAATCCAATTTACATCCTCCTATCGTGTCGTCCGGTCGGTGTTGGGGGGGCCTCAGGGATGGGGTGTCATCCTTTTTTTTCCAGTTGTTATACCGTATGACCGGTATACGGTGAGCACCGTATACCGGCATACGGTTTTAGGCATTTTTGGAAGTTCCGCATGAAACATATATTAAAATGATAGTGAGTCCTATTATTTATTTATTTCTCTTATTGTTAAAAACTATAATAACTTTTTCATTTGTGATCTGGTTTTTATAAAATTTATATCAAAATTTTTTATTTTTCATGATCTTTCAAATGAGACCATATTGCCTATGTAATTTTAACATTTTATCGAACTATTATATTAATCTATGTAAAATATGTAATTTTACGTGTAGAAATATGTAACTCACGTCCAGCCAGGCCAAATGCAACTCGTGTGTATAAATATGTAACTCTACGTGTAAAAATATGTAACTTTACGTGTAAAAATATGTAACTCGCGTTCAGTCAGGTCAAATACAACTCGTGTGTATAAATATGTAACTTTACGTGTAAAAATATGTAACTTTACGTGTAAAAATATGTAACTTTACGTGTAAAAATATGTAACTCGCGTTCAGGCAGGCAAAATGCAACTCGTGTGTATAAATATGTAACTTTACGTGTACAAATATGTAACTTTACGTATGAAAATATGTAACTCACATGTATAAATACATAATAAAATAAATTTTTTATATACACAATTTTAAGATAAATTGTGATTTGCACAATTATTTTTCTATATTAAATTTAGTTCGATTTTCCTTATAATCCAATAGTCATTAATATAATAGTTCGATAATTTCTTAAAATTACATAAGCAATATTGGTCCATTCGAAAGATCATGAAAAATAAAAAATGTTGATATAAATTTTATAAAAATCGGATCAAAAATAAAAAAGTTATTACCATTTTTTAAAAACAAAAGAAATAAAAAATAAACATGTCCGTATACCGGTATACGGTGCTCACCATATACTGGTCATACGGTATAATTTGCGTTTTCTTTGCGTCTTTTTATAAGGAGTACTACTGGAAGGAATTGTACTCCTGTAAGAAAATCACATGCATCTGAATTCTAAATGCACGTTTTTTACAGGAATTCTGAATGTACATATGTTAGACTAGACATCTCATTTAAATTAAAAGCATCAGCAGTGCCTACACACTGCTAGAGATATAGGGCGCATCTCTCGCCACGAGTATCGTTATTCATAAACTATTAAGTTCCATTCATTTCTTTTAGCTTTAGAGCCCATTTGATAATATCAAAATCGGCCGAACTGGTTGATTCTGCTGAATTTTATGAAATTCTGACTGAAGTGATTGAATTGGTTGATTCTGCTAATTAATTAAAAAATTATATTTAAAATATATTGAAGTTGATATCACAATTCTCATTTATCGACTCTTAATGCTCAGTAGAATACGTCTGATGCTCATTAAAAATGTATTAATGCTCATATAACGAAAATCGCGTTTTTCACTGAAATTACAAAAATGCCACCGTTTTTTAGTTTTGATATCAGCTTTCTTTTAATGACATGGTGCTCATTATTAGACGACTAAGAGCATCTCTAATGCTATAATGTCCACGGTGCACATGTGGCATGAGTGATAGCCACATAATTATTAGCAAATAAATTATTTCTCTCCTTATTTGAATGATTTTATACAATTTTGGTAAGTTTTTCCCTGCAATGTCAACATTAATGTCAACATTAGACGGTCTCCTTGACATTGTGGAGAAAACTTATCAAAACTGTATAAAATCATTCAAATAAGGAGAGAAATAATTTATTTACTAATATTTATGTGGTCATCTCTCATGCCACGTGTGCACCGTGCACATTATACCATTGAAGATGCTCTTATTGGACGCAGTCATGCAACGGTTATGCTTAGTCTGTTTGTTGTGTTCTTTATTATTGCATGCGAGCAGATATATCTGAACTAAGGATCCGAATTGAATTTGAAGCTATATGTACGTAGGATCAACTTCACGTGGTCTGCTTTTATTGGTATAAATCACGTGATATTTTTATTTTAATTATACCTATCATATATACTACGGAGTATCGTGTATGTTTTGAAAAACTTGTTGAATGAGTCTCGCAATTTATTTAAATTTTATTTATCTGTCATTGAAACTTTAATTTTAATTTATTTAAGGAGTATATCCAGTTCATCAAGGGTAATTATTAATAACGAGACGCGTTCATTAATAAAACTTACTACCGAGTTAATATAGAACATGCGCCGTATATTAACCCGATAGTGGCATTCATTAATTGTGTTGCATTCATTTGTATGACTATTGCTTGTGTTTCAGATTTATGCAGGCACCATCCACCACCATTCTTCCTTTTAGTGAAGGGTCAAACTCAATTGATAAAGATGGTTTCGGCAGTATGGAAAATAATGGAATACTATAATTTGTCATTTCAATGCTTGATGAGCTTTAATTGAATCAAGACTTAGATGTAAATGCAAATAGAGAACAAAAAAATGTTATTTGAATTTAAATCAAAATATCAATACTTAAGTTTTTTTAGACCAATCTTTGAAACTTTATTATAATAGTTAATTTTTTGTACTATTATTATTTTATTTATGAATTCCTAAATTATATATATTTGCAAATTATACCCTATATTTTTTATTTTTTATAAATATACTCCCGTACCCGTATCCTATACTTTTTGAAAGTGCCGTATCCCCGTACCCGTATCCGCGTATCCGAGTATCGGCGTATCCGTATCCGTGCAACATAGCTCCTACGTAGCAGCGGTTAATGCTAGATATTCATACACTATAATTAGGAGCCCGTTTGGTGACCCATTCTTTCGGCTTATCAGCCAGCTCTTTCATCAAACATGTAACTTTTACTTTCGCGCGCTGAATTTTGTAATAAACAGAAAAAGTAAGGTTGAAGTTACTTTTATGGCTGTATTTGCTAAAGTTACTGTAGAGGATCATTTTAGCTTTTTTCAGATAATTTTTTATTTAATTTATTACTAAAATATATTTAAAATATAATTTTTTCATGCATCAGTAGAATCAGGTAATACAACCACTTCAGCCGAAATTTCATAAATTACAGCAGAATCAGCCAATTCAGAGAATTTTAGTATTGCCAAATGGGCTCTAAGTTGTTAGTTACTATTGCTACTTAATTAGTTTATTTATTAATACATATATATATATATATATATCGGAGTACTATATAATTGGGACTCTTTTATAGATTACATTTTATTTATTAAATGTATCATAAGTTAAATTTTTAAAAAATATTTTTAAATCCTTCTCATTTAAAATTTTCAAAATCTAGATTTTTTAATATTTTTTACTAATAAGTTAGGAATGAAAAATATTAATGATCAAACTTGTGGTTGATAAGCGTGAAAAGTGGATTGTTGCAATTAAAAAGGAACGGAGGAAGTATATACCATCATAACATTGATATTTTAGTATATGTTGTACTAATAGTACAATATAATATATGAATCCTTCCAAACAATTAACCCCGCAATAATGTAGTATAGTCTAATAATGTTGTTGTTGTTTTTGCTACTTAAGAGAGAAAGTCAATATGACGAACTATTTTGGAATGGACATACTTAATAATTATTAAATTTGTTGAGTTTATTAAAATTTATTTTGACATCAAACTATATTCTTCAAAAAATAAAAGTGGAAATTACCCGTTTGAATCCCTTTTGTTAGTTGCATTTCGTTTATATCCCAACTCTTTTTCGTTTTCATATCTAAACTTTCAGTATTTCAAAAATAGTCTAGATCTATCCGATCATTCTCGTCACTGTTCCGCGTCCACCTGTTGTCCCCTTCTCTCCTCCGTCATTCTCTCGCTTCAACTGAAACCCCCTGCCGCTGAGCCGCTTCCCCCAAAACCTTCGATTGCTGCCTTTCTACCGTTTCCGCCTGTATGTTGAACTTGAATTGCATCCTCACCATCCGTTTCAGATCGGACGCATCGTCAGAATCGCCAGCAGAGAAGGCGGCGTAGGCGACGATTTAATCAATTTTTCCGAGTTCAGTAGGCGAGTGAGGAAGAAATGCTCTGTTGGTGATTCTAGAGCTTTTTATGACTTTCAGGATCAGAGAGGCCGGGCAGGGGATCCATTGCATGTTCTATTATGCTGGTGGCTAGCTGCGGCTGGTGCTGGTCTGCTAAAATCCGAGGAGATATTAGTAGGTGTTGCGAGGCTTCGTTTATCAAACGTTATTGAGTTTGAGGAGCAAACTTTTATGACTATGATGAGTGAAGCCAAAGAGAAACGGGTAAAAGCTAGGGCCTATGGAAATCAGATTTAAGAAAGCAGTTGCTGCAATTTATATGTGTTGCTTCAGGAGGGGTGGAATAGAAGAAGAAGGACAGAGGTTGTTCTTCAGGTCGATCTGGTTTGGTCTCTTCAATTTCACTCACAATGGACAAGCAGTTTGGCTTTTAATTTATCCTACATGCTACATGAGGAAGGTTTGTTGCTTCCAACCATATCTACTTCTACTTTTCATACGCAATTTTACATCAAGCGGGGGTCTGTTTATTTTCATATCTATCCGTAGTATAAAGAATTTTGCCTAACATTAAACAAACAAGTGCACCAATCTTTCCTTGGAATGGCGGTTAGCTAATCATTTTGATAAGGGATTGCTCTTCCAATCCATTGCTTTGATGCGAGAGAAGAGGCCACTGCTATAATAGAATCAATTTTGATACTATGTATGTGTTTACATGCTCAAGCTGAACAAACTCACTCACTTGTATCATGAAAATTAGCTTCTATTCAGATTCTTACTAAGTTTTAAATGGATGAGAGTATAGATCCCATTTTGGCTACAGGTGCTGAGCATGCAATAGATTACACCACTGATGTACATAGTTGTGTTTGTTTTCGGCATGGTTCACTATAATGACATCTCTTTTTGTGATGATGAAAAGTGTTCGCCCTAGTTTTGATGTTAATATTTCTCTCCCATTATAACATTCAATTTCATGTTTAATTTATCTTTATACATTCCAGGAGGTTAAAGTCCCTCTAACAAAGGGTCAGTTTGGTCAAGTTCTGGATACTGTTAATGTTCCAGAGATGGAAAGAATTGACAACAATGTTTTGATGGAAGGAAAACATTATATGACATTGCTGGTAAATGTTGTTTGAATGCCTCTTACTTGCCACTAAATTTTACTCCGTATGTATGTCTGTGTCTCTCTCTGCTTATCAATTTTATGGACATTCGAGAAATACTAGAACTTGTTCATGTGATTTTGAAACTAGAGCAGCGTGTACAGTGTGTTATATTGAAACACTAGTATGTTAGGCTGATAAGAACGAAATTTCATTTAGGTGATGCAGAAAAATTACAAGAAGTTGTGGATGTTTTATTTGAACTGAAAAGAGAAGGCCTACCCCCAAACAACATAACATACTCTGTATTGTTGGTGCCCAGTGAAATGGAATTCCTGGATCCTTTTGAAAATGCAATAAAATGATAGTCAACTTTCTAAGGATTTTAATCTGTTTTATGTATGATTTCAGTTCTCCTTGATTGTCGCGACGAGTTTGTGAACGAGAGCTCCTGGCCAGAATTAGTACTGGAACTGAGATTGGTTATCCAAAACAACAATTTGATCAGTGATAATAGAAATTTAGAATGGAAAACTATCAACTCACTCACTATTCTTCAATCCCTGATCAGACCATTCCAGATATTTGTTACACCAAATTGAAGACCACTTATCAGTATGGTGTGATCTTTATAAGAAGTTGTCTCATTCTTCATATTTTGGATAACTTCTTGTAAAGGATAGGGATTAAAGCTGAAACCTAGCTCATATGATTTCAATAGAGAAGCAATCCACTAAAGAATACTATAAAAGAATCATTAACATATTACAAATCTTGGCTATGTATATCAACCGAGAAAACTATGGATTAATGGATTTAGTCTCCCATTAATTGAAAAGGTTGGTGTGGCTCACCAGATTGTATTCTTATTGTAGGAGCATAAAAGGAAAAGAAGCGCATCGAGGTGAAAACGAGAATCCGGGGATCAATGAGGAAAACAAGATAAGGGAGCCATAGCGCAAGAACCATTTGTTAAGATGAACAAAAAGAATGACAAATGATAAGAAGCAAAGTTAAATAATATATTTATACGTGTAATAAATTGAATTATACTCCGTATATTTATTGTGAAAGTTATATACTACGTACGTTATATTTGTTGCTTCTTGTTGCATTAACGTGTTGCTTTTTGTTGCGTTGTGTTTCTTTTTGTTGCATTGTGTTTCTTTTTGTTGCATTGTGTGTCTTTTTGTTGCATCGTGTCTTTTTGTTGCATCGTGTTTTCTTTTTGTTACATCATGTTGCTTTTTGTTGCATCATGTTGTTTATTGGTGTTTATAGTTTTGAATTTGATTTTTGTCGTTAATTTAAAATGATACTTCACTTTGCTACTTATATAGAATAAAAGTCATATATAAACTTATGTACAATCATCTAATTAAAATGAGAAATTTGATTGCGAAATAAAAAAGCAGCAAAACAAACGAAGAAACAACAAAAAACAAAAATTTAAAAATTATTAACAAAGTGAAACAAAAATAAAAAATAGGTAACAAAAAGTAACAATAAAATGAAACTAATAATAATAGTGCATAATGATAGTAACTAAATTATGTGACTATTTTGAAAATTATGGGTTACAATTTTTTTCAACTTTTTTTTTAAATTCAAATGTTATTTTTTTACATTTTAATTTAATATTGGCATTTTTATTTTCGATGCTTTATATTGTATATACTTTTTTGTTTAATTAAATTTTACTTAATGTTTACCCAATGTTTATTTTACTTTACTAAATTTTCCAATTTTTTCATTGTCTCAACATTTTTTATAAATTTTTACATTTTTTTCTAGTTTTGATTTTAAATAAAAAATAAAGCAGTTCTTCAGTTTCTTATCATATTTTAGTATCATAAGAAATAGAATTTCGATTTTTAATTTCTACTTTCGATTTTAAGCTTGTATTGTATTGTTTTTAAAAGTTACTTATTTTTATGATGGGTTTTATTGTATTCGTGTTTACACTTATTCCCAGCTTTTGAAATTTACAATATTTATTATTTTCCAATCCCAAGTTCTCCATACATTACAAAGTTTTTATGTTTGAGCACTTTCCCTTTCTTTTACGGAGTAGTTATTTAACCAAAGTCAGAGTGCAGAGCTTAAAAGTTACGTATGTGGCAACCGGCCAAGGCAGTAGAGTTGAGCGCTTGAGGCTATTCTTGAAAATAAAAATTTGCTTAGTCTATTTTTGAAAAGAACTTTCAAATGTGAAAAAACTGATACTCCCCCGTCCCAATATAAAAGGCACACTTTCCTTTTCGGTCCGTTCCAATATAAAAGGCACATTTCCCTTTTTGGCAAACAAAACAGTGCAAAACAGTGCCAAACAGTGTCTAAACAGTGTTCAAACAGTGTTCACCCTTAAAAACTCCCCAAACGCAAATGTGCCTTTTATATTGGGACGGAGGGAATATTATTTTTGCTTTTCAGCCTACTTGTGAAAAAATCCCAAAATAAAATCATCAAACCATAAAAACAAAAAATGCTAAATACTCGGTATTACTATTACCCAAAGGCTAAATGTACATGTGGCTTTCAAAATGTCTAAAGAGCATTGACCATGACTAGATAACTAAAGACCAACGCGGAATTAATATACATTTTGGATTTGACAGCCCAAATCCCGCTATTTGAGAAATCCCCAAAAATATCCCGTATTTTTGCCATGTCTGCACCGAATCCCCAAAAATATCCCGTATTTTTGCCATGTCTGCACCATACCCATTTTTACTATCCTCTTTAATCCACCAATGTATGAAATTAGGAGTCCTAAAATGTCATCTTTAACATTTTGAACTCCTAATACATCACAACTCCAATTAGTCTTACTAGGTAATTAAAATCATATGGAGTATCATTATGCATGACATTTATTTATTTTTATTTTATTTAGTGCTGACATGGCAGATGCCAAGATAAATACTACGTATATAATTATTTGGGAAATATGTTTAGAACTATCATAATTGGAGTACCCCTATTTGGGAAAAACTCGCCAAACTTGCAAAATATTACTATGTTTAAAGTCTCGTAGTGTCAAAACATAATATTAATTACTCTTATTAAATAAATAAAAACATGAGAACCGTACTTTGGAAAAAATAAACACAAAAGGTACTAAAGTCGTTTATGCCTCAAAATAAATTTAATGGTTTCAATATTGTATATATAAAAATTGAGAAGAAAATTTCCAAGAATCTATTTTTAGCTGGATTGTTTTATAATTTTTCATATATATTATTGGTATCATATGAAAGATTATAATTTGACAATTGTTTTGACTATTTCATTTTTTATTCAATTTTTAAAAAAAATATATCATTTGAGTAGGTGAACAAAACTAAATTGGTACTCTCCTCCAAACTTTGTTTGGAAAAGTGATGTGATTATGTGAACCCTTGGTCTAGTTTTCATGCAACCGTATATATCGCCATCCAGGGGCGTAGCCAGGACACTGGGCTAGACTGGGCCGGTACAAAGAATATTATTGGAAAAAAAATTACACGAAATTTTTTACACTAAAAATATTGACATTTTTCAGATTTGGGGTGGGCCAGGGCCTAGCCTGGGCACCCCCTAGCTCCGCCCCTGCCGCCATCACCAGTTTGCCTCCACCATCAAACATGTTCTAAAATTCAAGCTTGTACAAAAAAAATTGAATCTCAAAGTTAAGCGTCAGGTAACTCTATTTTTCAACTTATCAAGCATAACCAACTTTTTCATCAAACAACTTTTTATTTCGCACGCTGGATTATGTAATAATGATAAAAAAAATAAAAGATCGAGATTACTTTTTGGATGTGTTGTCTGAAGTTACAGTAGAAAATCATTTTAACGATTTTTCATACAAGTTGTTCTTTATTTAAGTAATAAAATACGTAGTATATCTTAAATACTTCGTATAATTTTTTACATAAACCAAAAGAATTAGTCAATCCAGTCACTCCAACCTGAACTTCATAAATTTCAATAAAATCAATTAATACAACCGATTCGGTATTACCAATCGGACTCTTAATAAATGAATGGTTTTGAGCTATGAAGCACTGCTAAGTAAACATCACTAAACCTTGTAAGTTGTGATATTTGCATCATCACGGCAATCCCTATAGAGCAGGAAGGTGGGTGATATTCACATCGTTTACTTGTTTAAAGTTGGTTCAAAATCCATACAAAACGAACAAATAAAAATAAATACTGTTAGGTAGATTTTTTTATACCGAGTGCCTTCTCATGCTGCAGCCTTCTGATGAAGTAATACCTTATCCAACCGCATAAATCATGAAAAAGGAAGAAAACAGATCCCTGCCACGAGAGGTGAGCTCATTGCAAAGTTATGAAAGAAATCATGATGCTAAAATGCGAGTCCAAGACATATCAGTTATACATATTATCTAATACATATTGAGAGAGAATGAGTCCAAGACATATCAGTTATATATAGTGTGTCTTCTCACTACACCATGGAGCCTACGGTTGTGCATTCTGGGCTGTGCTGTTAAAGGAAAGCAGAGAATCATTTAGTGTGGCATCACTACACCCAACCAGCTTCATGCAATCAAAGAACATCTTGGCGGTCTCAGCCCCTCTGTTTTCTTCAAAATATTTGAGAAAACTCTTGACAGTTTCATTTGGAAGTACCCACTTCTTTTTCAGCTTAGCTGCCTGAGATGCACCCATATCCAAATACTTAAGAGCCAAATCAAAGTGAGACTTTTTTGTGTATGAACTAGTTAGAAACTCCAGAGTCCTCAAACTGGGTAGAACACCTCTTTCCAGAATACCTTTATATAGCGATTCAGCTTCCTCGATCATGTCTCTTTCTAGGTATAACTCTAGAAGAACATTTGAAAGCCTCACATCATAGTATTTACAATTTGACTCCCACTCACGAAAACATTTCTCAGTGGTTTCAAGATCTCCCAATTTGGAGAGAGTCCTGAGAATAATGAGATAACTATTGTTACCTGGTTTCGGGAATGCCTTCTTTAATGATTCCCATGCCTGCACAACCCCCATCAGATTCGAAACTTGGGCATTCAATGTGATCAGTGTGTGGAAGGCTTCTAGATCATTTTTCATTACTGCTATCTTACCTAGCACCGAACTAGCCTTTTCAACTAGCCCAGCATTGACATATAACGTTGCAAGGCTTCCATAAGTGAACGAGTCAATCTCTATGTTGTTAGATGTCATCTTCTCAAGGACTCCCTCAGCTGCATCTAAATCCTTCAAGGCACCATAACTGTTCATTAAAAGATTGTAAGTATATACATCCAAATCAATTTTATTTTCTTCCATTTCTTTCACCAGTTCAGGAACCTTCTCCGGCAGGCCAGTCTTTAAATAAAACTTCATCATATTGTTATAGTTTAAAGTAGACGTAACATTTTCTTCCTTCATCTTCTTAAAAAGATCACAAGCTTTTTCTGAATGTTTCGGCAGACAGTAGCAGCTTAAAAGCGCCCCATAAGTCCTAGCAGTTTTTTCAGATTCCGGCAACCTTGTGAAGTACTCTTCTGCAGAATCCAAGTTCTTGGCTTTGGCAAGAAGCTCTATCCGGACCGCACGATCAGCATCATTAGCTGGGAATTTATTGCTATTCATCCATTCAGACAGCTGCATTATAAAATTAAATGTAAATGGAAACTAATCAAATTAGCATAAAGACTAAAGACAAGTGTGATAAGTGACTGCAAGTTTATAATGTTTAAGGTATAACAACTTTGGTACTGTGAAAGTCTCAAAGAAAAAAGCTCAATTCTGTTCAACAGTGTTGGGAACTAATAGTTCCTATCCGACATAATTTTAAGCCCGAGTTGAGATTCATAAAAGACCCCTCTATAGTGATTTCAATTTCAGTAATACCCTAAATAAAAAGATCATCTTGACTGTATAACCGCCCTCCTCATCCAATAATTAAACAATAATCATAACAACATCTAATTAACATGTTAGGTCATTCACAAATTACAATTCACATGCCAATAATTCAAAACAATAACAATAACATTATAAGCTAGAATAAAAATCTGGAAATAACAAATTAACAAATAAACAATAATTCAACATTTCAACAAATGAGCGAATCAAATTAGAGATCCAAAAACGTATAGTAGCCCCATGAACAAATAGCAACACCTTAGGAGACCCAAAAATAGGGAATGATTGTTCCCCTTTATTTTGGATACATTGTTATACATAAATGATTAATAGTACTCGTAAAATAATTTTTTTTTTCTAAATTGGACCCTATTTCTTACATTTTTGGGGCCCTGAGACCCAAGCCTTACTAGGCTACATAGAGGCACGGCATTCCTAGCTATGTTTCTGAATTTTACCAAACATAAAACAGTTTGTTTGCATGGTCCTTTACATTAATTATTGATATTGCACAACCTGTGGCTGTCGCTAGACTCGCTACCAAGTTTTATGTTCTCAGTTGACCTAGTCTCAATCGAATGAAGAAATGTACAGATCCATAAAAATATTCAACTAGATAAACAGGCAACAGATTTGCGTTTATGAGAAAAAGTAAAGACCTGGAGGGCCAATTTGTACTTTTTGGCACTGCGGTATTGGTTGATTGGCCTAATAATATGCCATTTCTGGATGGGAGTTCCATTACTGATAGCTTTCTCCAGAGCCTCGATGAGCTTTCCTTCCTTCTTAGCTTTGAGTATGAAATCTGTAATCCCACGGCTACCAACAGCCACTTCTTCCTTTGGAGTACATATCGCCGCAGCGGATTCCGCTGAAAACACCTCCGCTTCCGTCGAAATCCAACGACGGGCGGCCATTGCCCGGAGGAGATAAGCATATCTAGGTATGCTGGCCATTTGGCCCCAGATTTTTTTTGGCCAACAGAAAAGGAGAAAGAGTGGAGGTTTTAGATAGGGCTTTACACTTTCTACGAATAGCATTCAATATTTGCAACCAGTTAGATACTAATGAACATTTTCAAATTTGTATTAGTGGATTATCCATTTACCCCAGGCCCTAGATTGAAATAAGAATGGTTGTGTCGGCTTTTAAAAAAAATAAATTGATGTGATCCATATTTAATGGAATTTCATACATACCGATAAAGTTTAAATAAATTAAAGTAGCAATGAATAAAAATCACATAAATTTAATGGAGTATTCTGTATTTAATTGACAAAGTTTAAATAAAGTAGCAATGAATAAAATGACATAAATGTTGTCCAAACATCAATATGAAACAAACGATAGACCGTATTATTAATAGACCATATTATTAAGAGAATACTACCCGAAATAGGACAAGAAAAGTTTGAAAATTTCAAAATAGGATTGACATGTTTTTATTTCCAAAATAGGACTAATTAATTACTGTCATGTTTTGGCAGTATCAGACTTCAAACATGGTAGTATTTTCCAAACTTGGCAGTAATTACTCCTATTTTGGGATTTAAAACATGGCAGTCCTATTTTGGAATTTTTAAACTGTTTTAGTCCCATTTCGGGAACTTTCCCTATTATTAATAAGAAAAGTAAAAAAATTATGATCGCGAGTTATACAATTGAGATAAAATTAGTTTTTTAAGGAAGAAAGCTTATATTATATCATAGGACAAACACTCTTATTTCGATCACTTGTCCTAGGATTAGGCGTAGAATTATGGAAAATTCTTGGTGTACACGTTCTTACACACACCAGTACACCTCCGTGTCTGTGAGAGGTTTTTTTTTGTCTGTGAATCCCAGTTCACAGACAAAACCGGCTTGTTTTATTTGTGAAAAATTATACAGACAAAACAAACCAGTTTTTGTCTGCCGATTGGTATTCACAGATAAAAAAAACTCTCACAGACACGGAAGTGTACTAATGTGTATAAGAATGTGTACAAAAGGAATTTTTGTAGAATTATAAGTTCTAAAAGGACAATAATTCGCTAACCACTCAACGGGCGACATGTCTATTGTGACCAAAAAAAGTAAAGGATTGCCGTGCAGAACACTCACAAGTCGAGTGCTCAACATCACAGCACAAACAAAAAAACATCCAAATATCGAGATTTTTTCTAAATTAATGCTCAACAAAAAAGTATTTATCAAATTCATGTTGAGTTAAAAATATTTCCGAATGTACTATTTGGCTAACTCGAGTAGTCGAGTTAACAAAATCCCTTTCTCATTACCGACATACATGTTCCACGTACAAGCATTTGGCGCAAGACAACATTATAGAAAGGCAATGACGAGTTCCAAGAAAATAAAAACCCCAAGTTTTTAAAAAGTGATCTAACTTTTTTATTATTACTCGAATTATTATAAAAAATACATCAAAATTCGTAACTTTTTATTATTTTTCATATGACACCAATATTAAATATTTAAAAATTAAAATAATAAATTGTCAATCAAACAAATTCTGATTTTTAAAGCGTTATAATTTTCTTATTTGTATCCCGATTTTTTAAAAAGTATATCAAAATTCTTAACTTTTTTATTATCTTTCATACGACTGTAATATTTCATAGGGAAAAAAATATTTAGCACTTTAAACAAATTTGTTTTTTAGAGTCACATACTTTTTTTGTACTCCGATGATCTAAAAAAATATATAAAAATTCATAACTTATTATTTTTCACGTGCCACTATTATTTCATACATACTAAAAAATAATTTCGAACTTGACGAAAACAGGACTAAACAACCCGTCTCGTCAACAAAACGTCAGTCCATCCAATCCACGCCGGCTCGGTCATCTTCTCCGGCGATGCCGACGAGTTTCTGGTAAGCTTAGAGATCACGCCAAAAGTTAGAACAAAGTGTTCAAATCCAGGAATATCAGCCCAAAATGCAACCTCACCAAATCTTCATAGAAGAAAGGGAAAATAACATCTTTTCTCCGCTTCAGGTTCTGTCACGTGCCCCCACTGAAGGAGACTGGAGAGCACAAAGACTATGGCCACATCGCAGGTGGTCTCCGGAGGAAGAAGATCAACGAAAATAACATATGAAAAATAGCGTTTTCTACTAATTTTATTGCCAAACGGCTAAATTACCAAACATCTTCTAACAACCCGCCAATTTATTTCGCTAGTCAAACCCGCCGACTGAATCCGCTATTGACACTCCACCAACATAACTCGATATTCGCTAACCACTAATCGCTGAAAGCCAAACACACTCCTCATCTGTTAAAAATAATTTTGTAACATGAAATATTGGTTTCATATGAAATGTATAAAAGTTATGAATTTTGATATATTATTTGTAGGAATTAGATCAGAGTACAAATAAAAGATTTATAACACTTTAAAAAATTAATCTTTTTTTACAGTTGTAAATATTTTTTTAGTATGTATGAAATATTAGTGGCACATGAAAAATAATAAGTTATGAATTTTATATGTTTTTTCAGATCATTGGAGTACAAAAAAGTATATGACTCTAAAAAACAAATTTGTTTAAAGTTCTAAATTAATTTTTTATTTTTACCTATGAAATATTAGAGTTGTATGGAGGATAATAAAAAGTTATGAATTTTGATATATTTTAAAAATAATCGTGATACAAATAAAAAAATTAAAAACGCTTTAAAAATCAGAATTTTTCTAAAGTGATAATTTATTTTTTAAATTTTTTATATATTCAATATTAGTGTCATATGGAAGATAATAAAAAGTTACGAAATTTGATATATTTTTTATAATAATCCGAGTATTAATAAAAAAAAGTTAGATCACTTTTTAAAAACTTGGGGTTTTATTATTTTTGTTGGGTCCCACCATTGCTTGTTCTGCGAATCTGCGTCCGATGCTTCATGTAAGCCGGTAATGAGAATGCAGTATTTGTTAGCCTGAGTTAGGCCAACGGTAGATTGGGAAATATTTTTAACTAAACATCAATTTAGTAAATACTTTTCTATTCAACATTAATTTGGATAAAATCTCCCAAATATCCCCCTCTACAAAGACCTAAACCAACGGAAATAAAACTAAAACTAGTTGTCTGAAAGAAAAATTGAAAACAAAATAAGCACAACCGGAAACTTGAATTATAGTTGTGAAATGAAGAAGATGAGGACTTAAATAAAGAGATAGATATATTGATAATAACCTCTAAATAACTTCTTCTTAATCTAACTGAGAGTTTCTTAGTTTCTGAATTTCTAAGTGCATTTACAAGGCATCACTAAACCCCTATTTATACTGATGGAGCTTGGTGATGAATCATCAAAGAATCATTCTACATAATATGCTGGCAACATTAAACCTAGCCATCTGTTTATTACAAGGATGGAAATTGGATTAGTGTCCTGATGACAAGGATGAACAATTCACACTTGTCATTCTCAGGAATTTACAACACTCCCCCTTGAATGTTCATCCTTGAATAGTTATTTGTTATTTAAAAAATTTGTTGTGAAATTAAGGGGTAAAAATTACGACTTATAATGTCATTGTATTTGGATGTACTGTCTCGTTAAAAACCTTATCAGGAAAAACCCAGTGGGATAAAAACCTGATGAAGGGAAAAAGAGTGCAGTGCATTCAAATACTCCCCCTGAATTTAGTATAAAGTTTGAAGGCGGCACATGCCGATTTTCTGTACAAGTTCTATGAATTTCTTCGGGGGTAAAGATTTGGTGAAGAGATCGGCCGGATTTTCGCTCGATCTGATTTGTTGAATGTTGATTGTCCCTTCTTTCTCCAGATCATGAGTAGAGAAGAATTTCAGTGATATGTGTTTCGTTCTGTCTCCTTTGATGTAGCCTTCTTTAATCTGAGCTATGCACGCAGTGTTGTCTTCATAGATCACAGTCGGGTGACAAGTAATAGGCTTCATACCGCATTCATTTTGGATGTGTTGAATCATAGATCGCAGCCATACACATTCTCTTCCGGTTTCATATAGTGCAATTAACTCCGAATGATTTGATGATGTAGCTGTCAACGTCTGTTTCATAGATCTCCACGAGATTGCGGTGTTACCATAAGTAAATACGTACCCGGTTTGTGATTTCGCCTTTTGAGGATCTGATAAATATCCGGCGTCTGCATATCCGATTAAAGAAGCTGTTGCATCTTTGTGGTAGAATAGGCCGAGATCAACTGTACCACAGAGATAACGGAATATGTGCTTCATCCCGTTCCAATGACGTCTTGTTGGACATGAGCTGTACCTAGCTAATAAATTTACAGAAAATGCAATATCTGGTCTAGTATTATTAGCTAAATACATTAATGCTCCAATAGCACTGAAATATGGTACTTCGGGACCGAGTATTTCTTCGTCATCTTCTCGGGGACGGAATGGATCATCATGTATGTTGAGAGATCGAACGACCATGGGTGAGGTCAACGGATGAGCTTTGTCCATATAGAATCTCTTCAACACTTTCTCGGTGTAATTGGATTGGTGGATGAAAATTCCATTCTTCAAATGCTCAATTTGAAGTCCGAGACAAAATTTGGTTCTCCCGAGATCTTTCATTTCAAATTCTTTCATAAGATATTTTGCAGTATTTTCAATTTCATCGGGAGTTCCAATAATGTTTAAGTCATCAACATATACTGCAATTATGACGAATCCCGAATTTGATCGCCGAATGAAAACACATGGACTAATCGGATCATTCTTATATCCTTCTTTGAGAAGGTATTCACTGAGACGATTATACCACATTCGTCCAGATTGTTTTAGTCCATACAATGACTTTTGTAATTTAATGGAAAACATGTCTCGAGGTTTCGAGCTATAAGCTTCAGGCATTTTAAATCCACCGGGAACTTTCATGTAAATGTCTGTATCAAGTGAACCATATAGATAGGCGGTCACTACATCCATTAGGCGCATTTGCAGCCTTTCAAAAACAGACATGCCAATGAGAAACCTTAATGTAGTTGAATCAACTACTGGAGAATAGGTTTCTTCATAATCGATTCTCGGCATTTGAGAAAAACCTTGGGCAACAAGTCGGGCTTTATATCTAACAATTTCATTCTTTTCATTGCGTTTACGCACAAATACCCATTTAAAACCCACAGGTTTTACGCCTTTTGGCGTAGGGACTATCGGTCCAAAAACATCACGTTTTTCAAGTGATTTTAATTCAGCTTGAATAGCTTCATTCCATTTTGGCCAATCGTGTCGTTTCCGACATTCTTCTATTGATGTTGGCTCATTGTCATTGTTTTCATTCATAACATTTGTGGCAACGGCATAGACAAATATCTCATTAATATCAATATCTTTTCGATTCCATTGCATTCCAGTAGAAACGTAATTTATTGAAATTTCATAATTATCAACGTTTCTATCAGTATCTGGAATATCTTCCTCATTTAAGGAAGTTGAATCATTATTTGAGATGTTTGTTTTGTCAATATCATTTTCTATGCCAGTATTTTCAAATTGTTCATTTTCTTGTTCAGAAGGATGAACATCTTTGGCATCATAGATCAATTCCTGCCTTTTAGTCTTTCTTGGTTTTATGTTTTTTGATCCAAGTGGCCTGCCACGCTTTTTGCGTATAGAAGAATCATTTGCGAGAGATTTTTCAGAATTCTCCGCTGGAATTTCAATTCTGGCAGGGGCATTCATAGCAGGAATATGTGACTTTGTCACTTTCTTTGTGTCTGTGAATGCATCAGGCAACTGATTTGCAACATTTTGTAAATGGATTATCTTTTGCACCTCTTGCTCACATATATTTGATCTAGAATCAAGGTGTGATAATCCTGTTGCATTCCATGTTATTTCTTTCGTACTTGGGTCCGATTTATTAGTTTCTCCCCCTAAGGTTGGGAATACTGTCTCATTGAAATGACAGTCAGCGAACCGTGCAGTGAATAAGTCACCAGTCATCGGTTCAAGATATTTTATTATTGAGGGAGATTCAAATCCAACATAAATTCCCAACCTTCTTTGAGGACCCATTTTTGTACGATGAGGTGGAGCAATCGGAACATAAACAGCACAACCAAATATTTTTATGTGTGCTAAGTTTGGCTCTTGTCCAGTAACTAATTGCATTGGGGAATATTCATGATATGCAGTCGGTCTAAGCCGAATTAAATTTGCTGCATGCAAAATAGCATGTCCCCAAGCTGATGAAGGTAAATTACACTTCATTAATAATGGTCTAGCGATTAATTGTAATCGTTTAATCAAAGATTCAGCAAGACCATTTTGTGTATGGACATGAGCAACAGGGTGCTCCACATCAATCCCAATCGACATACAATAGTCGTTAAATGATTGGGAAGTAAATTCTCCTGCATTATCAAGTCGGATTCTTTTTATAGAATGATCCGGAAAATGAGCTCGTAATCGTATGATTTGAGCAAGGAGTTTAGCAAATGCTAAATTTCTAGTCGATAAAAGACTTACATGTGACCAACGTGTTGAAGCATCAATCAACACCATAAAATATCGAAATGGTCCACATGGAGGGGCAATCAGCCCACAAATGTCTCCTTGAATCCTTTCTAAAAATGCAGGTGATTCAGTTGCAATTTTGTTCATAGAGGGTCTGATGATCATTTTGCCAAAAGAACAGGCCTTACAAGGAAAATCCCTTGATATTGGAACCCTTATATTCTTTAATGGGTGTCCAAGTGAAGTCTTAATGATTTTATGCATCATTACTTGGCCTGGGTGACCTAAACGGTCATGCCACAACATGAATGTTTTCTGATCATCTAACTTTGTGTTAGAAACCAAATTTATTTCGAATGGACTAATATGAGTGAAATATAGTCCTGAGGAATATGCTGGCATTTTTTCACAAATACATTTAGTGCCAGATTTAGTTGTCGTTAGACAAAGATATTCCTTTTGGTTTTCATTCATGGTTTCTATGTGATAACCATTTTGACGCATATCTTTAAAGCTTAATAAATTTCTCCGCGATTTACTGGAGTATAAAGCGTCATTTATAAGTAATTTTGTCCCATTAGGGAGCATCACATATGCTTTCCCAGAGCCTTCAATGAGCTTCGCAACACCTGATATTGTATTGACTTTAGCTTCAACTAAAGTCATTTGAGAAAAATATATTTTATTCCTTAAAATGGTGTGCGTTGTGGCGCTGTCTATCAGACATAGCTCTTTATCACTTGAGTGATCCATATCTTCAATATATAAATAAGCATAAGTTTGATATGCAAGTAACAAAAATTATGCATCATATATAACATTAAAGTACATATATTACATAATTTATTTATGATAACAACGTAAAAGAAAAAGTACATAATACATGAAAACATAAACTACTATTTTACAACATTCAAAAGTCTTATAATTTATTTTGTGTTATTTTGATCATTGGCAAAAGCATCGTCCATTATGCTATCATCCATGAAGAAGTCGGACACATCGAATTTTGGCAGAGATGGAGTTGTGTCATTGACATAATTCGCTTCCACATTTTTGCCTTTGTTTAAATTCATGGAAGCTTGAAATAACTCCACAAGATGCTTTGGAGTACGGCATTTGTTAGCCCAGTGTCCCGTCATGCCACATTTGTAACAAGTTGTCTTCACCGAGGGTTTTGTAGGGCGATTTGTTTGATGGGCTTTTTGTTTGCCCTTGCCCTTGTAATTTGGTCTTTCGACCCGTTTATATCCTTGGTGGGACTTGTTATTATGACCATTAAAATGCCCACGTTTAAAATGCCTTCTACTGCCACTGTGTGTTGCATTTGTTTCAGTGGCTAAATTATGGCCAGATGGACCATAAACTGAAGGACTAGAACCAGTGGGTCTCAGATTATGATTTTTCATCAAAAGGTCATTATTTTGCTCAGCTACCAATAATACTGATATTAAGTCGGAGTATTTTTTAAAACCCTTTTCTCTATATTGCTGCTGTAGCAGCATATTAGAAATATGCATGGTAGAAAAGGTTTTCTCCAACATATCAGCATCAGTGACTTTTTGTCCACATAACTTAAATTTGGATGTTATTTGGAACATAGCAGAATTATAGTCACTGATTGATTTAAAATCCTGGAATCTTAAATTGATCCAGTCATACTGAGCTTTTGGCAAAAGTACCTTTTGTTGGTGGCCATACCTCTCTTGTAAATTGTCCCATAATTCTTTTGGATCATCAACCAAAAGATATTCAGATTTGAGACTTTCATGGAGATGGTGACGGAGGAAAATAATAGCTTTCGCTTTGTCTTGGGCAGATGATGGCTTATTTGCCTCAATAGTGTCTTCCAAACCGTTAGCTTTCAAATGTGCTAAAGCATCTACTTTCCATTCCAAATATTTTTGACCGGATAGATCAAGAACGTCGAACTCTCTTTTGCTTATATTTGCCATAGTACTACAAATTATTGGTTTTAAAGTTAATTAGTAAAATTGTAAATAAGAACAGTATTTGTTCCGTAAAAGCTAATAAATGTATTAATTCATATCGATTGAATTGAATCATGTTTTAATTTAGAAATTGGAGTAATACGGAGTAACTTTTATTCTATTTGTTTAAATATAGATGAATCTGTAAGACAAAGGCATTTGTAATCATATACTCCATACTATCATGATACGTATTATTAGTCTTCGAAGTATTACCCTTTTAATCAACTTTATGCATTCATTTGGATCAAAATAACTAGGTGTTAATCCAAAGTTAGTTAATTACATATACATAATTCTTTACTGGTTCGTATCATTTAAGAGTAACAAAGATACAAGCTTAAGTTTATGTGCACTGTATTGATACTAAACCATTAATTTACACAGTATATACCAACGTTCGCATAGACCATGATAAGTTGTGGTCATTTACTAATCTATCATTATTTTAACAAAAACGGTCTTTGGTGCTAAGTGCTAACATACAAAACACCGAACGATTTTTATTTTCCAAAAATTTAAGTGGAAAGCATGATAATAATAAGGATAAAATAAACTGGTAGCGGCTGCAACAGCTGATATGGCTGAATCTGCTTTAAAGACTGAATCTGCTGAAGTAAAAGTGTTTGGTAATATGTTGGCTGAATTGGCTGATTGAATGTAAAATTACCAGAAAGGGTATTATTGTTTGTATTAAATAAATGGGGCGAATTTTGCTTCTTTTTTTTTGCTTGAATCAATTGTTTACCATAGAAACATACTAGAAGAATATGGAGCAGCTCAGCAAAAGAAATATACTTAAAAGAATATACTTCGTAAATATACTCTGCTGTCATAATAGCAAATCAATCCAGATGATCTTCGATCCATATGCAGCTTACCTGGCCTTTGTGAATATGGAGCAGCTCAGCAAAAGTCTTCAATTTGAATCACGAAAGTGCAAAACTATGAGGCAGCGAGCAGGCCGGTGATTATGTCGTCCACTTCAATCTTGAGCAAGGGAAGATATATTCTAGATATAGAGGGCAGATTAGTCTTTGCAATAGCCAACAGTGAAATAATGAATTTCAGCTTAAAAAGTAGCAAGACACTTGTTTTTCCGGCTGATCATAAAAATCAGCCAAAACAGCCTATTTGGCATGTGTTTGGTGATTTTTTTCTACTTTCAGACTTATAAGCCTATTTTGAGTTCTCCAAACGGCCACAGAGTGTGAATAATTTTGTCTGGTATGTACTACGTATCAAAGACCCGTGAACTCTCCAGCTAGCCTAATCTAGTTGCTACGTTTCTCTCGTGACTACTGTTGTCAACTTGTCATTAATTTTCTTTGTTTGTTTTATGCATGCCATCTGACTCATACTTCATATACGTAGTATTAATATACAAGTGTGCTACCACGTATTTTATTTGCCCATACAATTTTGAATGTTCTAGGCCCATACAATCTACTTGAGGTTATAATTTATTTATCCACTATCTCTCACCGTTTCATCTCATTTATATACTCTGTATGTCTAAAAGAATAGACTTCTAGTTTGTTTCTAATCCATTCATTGTCTACTTCATTTCTTCCATACTCCGTACTTGCTAAAAATTTATAGGAACCAGTATTGTGTTTCTAAAACTCTCCTCATATCATATCATTTTCTCCTTCTCCTTTATTAGTTATCCATTGTATTCTTCAAAGAATAACTGATAAGTGATGTACTCATGATTATGGTGCTTTTATTTTATCAGAAGAAATCAATCATGCAAAGGTATGTTATCTGTGTACATTTTCTATTCGAATATGATAGAAGATTTTATTTAAAACTCAGAATAATTATCTGATTTGAATATTAAAAGAAGATAACATATATTGATATTAATACCTGCAGGAGATGATGATTTCTTGAAGATTTTTGAGCAGATTCGTGCTGATAACGTGTTGTGAAATGAAGAAGATGAAGACTTAAATAAAGAGATAGATATATTGATAATAACCTCTAAATAACTTCTTCTTAATCTAACTGAGAGTTTCTTAGTTTCTGAATTTCTAAGTGCATTTACAAGGCATCACTAAACCCCTATTTATACTGATGGAGCTTGGTGATGAATCATCAAAGAATCATTCTACATAATATGATGGCAACATTAAACCTAGCCATCTGTTTATTACAAGGATGGAAATTGGATTAGTGTCCTGATGACAAGGATGAACAATTCACACTTGTCATTCTCAGGAATTTACAACAAATTGCAACTTTTCAGGCGAGCATATTGTCTAGTGATCGCCCCAATCCCTTTTTTTCTTCTACTTGTTTCAACCTCTATCATTGAACTTGCTTCTTTTATCTTTATCGCTTTCAGCGCTTTGCCTTCCTAAGATAAAATTAGTTAAAACACAAATTAATAATCATTTTAAAAGGAAAATGACAAAGTTTTTCCGGATAAATAAAAACGATAAATGGGCAAAGATCAATGATCGGGAAAAGAGGAGAGCTTCGTGTGCGACCCACGTCAGGTGATGAGTGTAATAATAGGATGAGAGGCATATTTGAAATAATTTAGATCCATTTTGGGGGTGTTTGGAAAATGGTTGTTGGCTGCTGGCTGTTGACCGATTGTGCTGGCTAATAACTGATCGCAGATTCTGTTGGTTGTTTTGATTAGCTAATAGTTTTATTTGTTTGTAAAATGATGTTTGGTTAAAGGAAAAATTGATAGTAATAATCCCAACTATTGGCGGTCCGCTCATAGTAATCCCAACTATTGATTATTACAGAATAATCCCAACTTTAGGGACCTTCCGCCAATAATGGTCCCTATGAATAAATACTTGTAGTTTCTAAAGTGGATGAGATGAGATATAACAAGTAATCCCTATAAATAATCTCAACTTTTAATTTTTAAGCTTAATTTCTATTTAAAATTCACTTTTTATAGAGGTAATATATGGTCATGGACCATTATTGGCGGATAGTCTATATAGTTGGGATTATACACAAATAATCAATAATTGGGATTATTTTCAGCGGACCAGCAATAGTTGGGATTATTATTTTCAAATTTTCCTTGGTTAAATGGTTGCTTAAAATTAGCTGATAACTTATCATATATCTTTTAAGGACATCAATTATTTTTTTTTTATTAAAGTTACCCTCTATAAGTAGAACGATTTAAAATATTTTAAATTTATGATATAAAAAAAGGGAATGACTATATAGCTTAAATAAATATGATAGGACAAATTAATAACCTATATTATGTTTTTTTAAGTGCATAGCACTTTTGTAGCTAATGTGAGGTGACGTGGTCTTAGTTCATTATGCAACCGTGTGTATTTTATTCATTTAAATAAGCTAGTTATGCTATTTGTTTAATTTATACAAATGTATGACATAAACTCTTAACTGCACATATTTAAAGTTGTATATACAGTTATACACCCAAATATTCCTTTAGAAAATAAGAAGTTCAAGAGCACAATTATAGAGGGTTTTCATTTCAGATTTTTTTACGGTGATTTATATGCATTAGTGATATAAATCAGGTTATCTATGTTGGGAGTAGAAGAGATAACGAGAGCTTGTATAGAAGAACTAGTATAGTACCCGTGCGATGCACGGGATGATGATTTATAAAATTGTAATTACCGATGGTCTAAAAAAATTCATACTATATATTTTGATTTAATTACATTTAAACAAATCATGAAAATATAGGTGATGAAAAATAATGATATACGACATTTGTTCATCGTACTAACTACTAATATTCACTATATATAAATTCGAAATGGAAATTAACAGTTACAATTAATCAATTTTTATTATTAGTGAATATAATATTAGGAGAATAAAGTGGTAGGTTATATTTCCAGTTTATAATTTAGGAAGTGTTTGAGTTGACTTCAAAAGAACTTATTTATTTTAATGATTATATGAAAAGTGTTAAGTTTAATACGGAGTAATGAATTTTGATAGTTTTTGAAAAGAAAGATAATCAAAAAACTAAAATTACTCCGTATGATGTTTGGTTCAAATTTTCTTGTATAATACCAAAGGTGAAGCAATTTAAAAACAGCAATCTCTCATCTTTCAGCATTGGCTTTTGAAAACTAATCTTAAGAATTTTTAAAACTGACTTGTTTTTTCTCGTTTTTTTTACCTCCCCGGCTTGCATGTTAGATTAAAAATGGTAATATTCAATTTTTCAATAATAAGGATGTTTTCTTTTGGACTGAAATTTGCTGGTCTGATCTGATCTGGTCTGGTCTGAATTGGTCTGGTAAACGTATGATCTCTGTGTATTTTATAACTACAGAAGTCCGGTCTGATCTGATCTGATCTGAAAAAAATCCAAAAAACACATCCTAATCATAAAAAGATTACTTGCAACTTATCCGCACCAAATGTCGGGCATTCTATGGCCAGCCATCGACGATTAACTCTTCAATTGGTTGAACAACTTTATCACTTGTTAAACTTCTAAATCTTCAATTAAAAGTACACAATATTACCACATTTATGTAAAGTGGAAGTTACTCTATTTCACGATTTTGAAGTCATATTTTATCCCATTGTAAACAATAAATTAGAAATTGCAAATTATTTCTCTAATATAGTTTTTTAAATTCCGCAAAATGATGTATTCAACTTGCTATGTTCGGACGTCACAATTGCATCTGGTTAAAGAATTCTACGGAGTATGATGACCATAATTTTAAAACTTCCTAGTAGTCTAATAATAGGTAGATTCTATGGTACCCATGAGGTATCGTACCTTTGTGGACTAATCAGAATTATGCAGTTGAATTATTTAAATCTAAATTAAAATGAATTTAATGATTTGAACCAATTAAATGCATGGTAGGTATGATACCCCATTTTTTAAATGAGTACCGGATTTGTCACCTAATAATCAGGGTGATTGACGAAACAGGGTAGGATCTTTGCAGACCATTCCAAATGGTGTAGATTCTGGTCTGCAGACCATTCCAAAGACTCAACATATTTGGTGAATATGTTCAATAGATATCTCTGAATTTTTATTAAAAAAGATCGAAGTCAGAGAACATATTTGGTGAATATGTTCAATGGATTTCTATTTAAAAAAAAAAAGAAGTCAGTGAACGTATTTGGCGAATATGTTCAACAGTTTTCGATTTAAAAAAATCAAGCAACATATTTGGTGAATATGTTAAACGATTTCTGGAAAAAAAAAAGAGGTTTGAATAGATTTAGTTAACAATGCTTTATTTATTTCTTCCCACATTTCACGAAAATTATACACTACAATCTACTGAAATGAAAATTTATATATTCTGAATTGAAATATTTATTGAAATGATAAGAAACAACTTGTTATTAAAAACTTAAAAAGTACAATTCCTTCATAAGAAATTATTAAAAACGCTGAAATATTAAAAATACATGAAATCATTGTTGTCCTCTTCTTCTGCTTGGACGCATATCCATCTCATTTTGAAACCTCGTTTCTTGATGACGCCCCACTCGAGAAGTTCGTGATAAATATTTTGGCGGTAAAAGATGGATCCCAATGTCAGGCCACTCATTCATATTTGGTAAAGACATAATATCACCAGCATGTGCATTAATGTAAGAGGTCAGTTTATAGACTTCCGGAATAAGTTGATTGACAGGGCGGTCGAGGAAGTGACACACAGCATGCACGTGGCTGCATGGCATCCAGTTCATCCTCCAGCAGCCACAATCACAGTCGCTCCTTGAAAAATCTACCGTAACCGGAGTTGCATTTTCTATGGCTACTGAGAAAACTCCACTGTGATAATTGTGCGGGATTACAACAGTGTGACGCCTTTGTTGCCATCCATCCATAATCTGCTTCCGGATTTTTTCCGGAAATTGATATCCACTTTGATTCCACATCATACCAGCATTACGTCGTTCTACAAAGAGCTGAACAAATTTATCGAAAGTTGCTCTCACAAGTGCTGTAATCGGAAGCGTTCTACATCCTTTTAGGGCGTGGTTAAAACTTTCAGATAGATTGGTCGTTAAAATTCCATAACGACATCCACCATCAAAACATAGTGCCCACTTCTCTTTAGGAATGGCATCAAGATAGTTGAATGCTCTTTCATAAGCACCCCGTATTTGTTGCATGTAGTTAGTAAATTCATTTAGAATGGGAGTACTTCCGGCACGCCAACACAATTTTTTGAGATTCTTGCTTCGAAATTGGGACATAAAATTATGAGATGTATCATCATCATGTATCATGGGTGTATCATGAGATGTATCATCATCTCATGATGTATCATCAACTTTTTGAAATTTCGGCGGCTCCATGGGTGTATCATGAGATGTATCATCATCATGTAACCCATACCCTGGTCTAGTCTGTTGGCCATGAGCATCGGGCGATGCGTGTCCTTCATCAACATCTTCAAATGTGATGATGTCGTGATCCATTGCTTCTTCTGCACCTATCCGCCTTAGGCAATTCCTGATTCGCTCAATCATCCCACAATCTCGAGGGTCACCTCTGTCAATCATTTCCCGAGCAACCTGGCCCAAACAGTGAGACTGCAATACAAATTTATACAGTTAATAATTTGAATTATTACATTATATGAGAATACCAAACACTTTTAAATAATAACCGCGATAGCAATATGTGGATGAGCTGGAACAAATCCGGTTGTAGGACGGTCTTGTGAGGGGTTGTTAATGTGTGTCTTGCCCATGTAACGAAACCACCCACGATACTCATTAGTGAATCCCCCGCATCTGGTCAGGTCAAACACATATAATGTTTGCCATCGTTGCTCCCATTCTGTAATAAACTCAGCATTGTTCTCTGGTCTAGTAGCATAGTGACGGTCGTTATGAGTCACGCTCCTAGGTATATCCTGGACTGCACCGAATTGACGACAAAATCTACCAGGATAGTATGCCTCAAAATATGAACAATAAATAAGTGGAGCTTTAGTTGCCCACAGATCAAATGCATGAGTGCAAAAAGCTGGAAGACTAGTAAGCGGGTAAGGTTTCCATTCAAACTGTGCAAAAAAATTGTTCCATATTAGTAAAAAAGTATATATAAAAGTATTTTATTAAATAAATTTAAATTATACCTCCGACTCGCTTAATCGGTCAAATTGGTCCCTATAAATGCGAAGAGTGAATCTGCTAGAGTCGGCCCAGTTATGTGCACAAGCCCACCTAAATTTAACGAATTATAAGACAAATCATAAAAACCATAATACAGTACAATGTAATATATTATGTCAATGAAGCTTACCTAGCACCATAGGGCAAATCAAATATTGCATGCAGTGGAAGAACCCGTTGGGGTCGAACCATTGGCAACCTCTCCCATGCCCAAAGTTGTAAAAGGATTAAACATCCTCCAATCGAAGATGTGTCTGCCTTCGCCGCTTCACATAAGTTGTGGTACAGAAATGCCAACACAGCTGAGCCCCAACTCCACCTAGTCAAATTCTCTACATTGTCATGCAACAACTCAAGAAAGTAAAGTGACGCTCTACCGGAAGTGCTAGGGAACAACAACCCACTGAGCAACTGCCAAATCAACGTTTTAGTATGTTGAATAACTTCAATGTCAGTGCTCCACGGTGACAACAAAAAGCGCTGAATGGCTAGATTTCTAATGCTGTTGGATGATATTATATCTTTTTCAAATGGTCTGAAACCAAGATAATCATCACACATTTGGACCCATTCAGTCTTACTATGTGCCGTCGGACCAGTAAGTGGGAGACCATCAATCGGTAACCCCAGCAGCACCTGTACATCTTGCAAGGTAATGCCGACCTCGCCAAAAGGTAAATGGAAAGAATGTGTTTCTGGTCTCCACCTCTCAACCAATGCAGTGATAAGATCGTGATCAATTTTGATTTGTACTACTCGTTCAGCTCCTTGAAAGCCTGATGCCCTCAGCAGTTGTACGACTCTAGGATCACGTTCGCCATCGTCTTTGGCGGATTTGGGGTAAGTAATGCACCTCAATTTTAGGTCTCTCGACTCTTCAGTTTTCCACACATTATCGGCACGATGTTCTCCAGGTTTCATTACCAATACAGAAAGTTTTATGGGCCCGGGATGGGGGTGCTCTCTTTGTGTAGCCATGAAAACCTAAAAGTATATTATTAAATTAATTCCAAATCAACACTCCTATTTGTAATACTTTGTGCGTAATTACAAATTTAATTAAACAACACTATTTATAATACAAATTATATATGTAATTAAACAACACTACTTATAATACAATTTGTAATACAAATAAATACACCTAATTAAAAAATAACATATTTCGTTAACTATAGACTAATACTATACATTAATTTTTCGTTAATTATCACAACTTATAGACTAATTTCTACACCAAAATAGGAAAAATTACTACAAACTTTAAACTAAAGGTGGGCAAAATTTTCCAAAAAGGTTAGCATGCATATTACTAAATTTATACATACATATTTGGTAAAGTAACACTAATCTTTCATATTTGGTAAATAAACTAAAATTTTGCAAGTTTCCTATTTCACTTTTTTTGTTTAGGTTCCTAATTCACAATTACAAATTAACACTATTATAGAATAATTTCATTCCTAAATTACTAACTTTAATTATTACCTAAATTAACCATTAAATTGGAAAAACTTAATTACATTATTAATAAATTTGGAGAAGGAGTTGGCCTAAAGTAACATAACGTTAACTAATTTGGAGAAGATATAACTTAATGTTAAATTACTTAACGTTAATTAATTTCATTCCTACTTTTATAAAGTAACAAATTAAATTAAACTAAAAATATTAAAGAAGAACTTACTTGGGTTAAGATGAAGGAGATGGCCAAAATTTGGAGAAGTTAGAAGACTGATTGGAACCGTGAGATGGGGTTGTGAGGTGAGGTTTGTGGTGGATTTTATAGAGCAGGTTTGGCAAACATGTTGAGTAATTGACAATCCGAACCACCTTATTCTGACCAATAGGAGCACGGACATATTCACCAAATATGTTGAGAAATATATTAATTTATTACAACAGATTCGTAAATCTGCTCAAATAGATCGAATCAATCCACACCCTTCAGCTGGCGATCCCAGATGGCGATCCGCGCCCCATATTTTTGACCAATAGGAAGACCGACATATTTGGCAAATATGTTGGGAATATCTTATTTTAATGCGATCCAAGCCCTTCGCTTCACGATCCAAGATGGCGATCCGCGCCCACCCCTCTTGACCAATAGGAAGACTGGCATATTTGACAAATATGTCCAGATACATATTTTTTTCTTTTTGCAAATACTGAACATATTTGGCAAATATGTTGAACCACTTCAACCAATAATTCGGTCAAACCTACACGTTTTGGAAACACCTGCAAAGATTCTACCCTGTTCTGTCATTTACTCTAATAATCATTTAAAGACATCAATCACATCATAACTCAATAGCCAACGGTGTAAGAGTTTTATCACTTCTATAATTGGATTGTCACTTCTCTTGTTCCAACACGTTTATTTGTATAATCATGGAAAAACATAAGTTCTCCATAAAATTAAAGTTGGAGAAACAAACGGCTAATTTGCTGAAACTAAGCAAATAAAAAACAAATATAAAATTACTATACTCCGCATTACGAAGTACTTCATTAGGCTACGTAGGGTCTGTTTGCAATCCATTAAAAAAGTGTTTTTAACTTTTTTTTTAAGAAAAAAGCACTTATTTTACCAAACACTATCAACTTTTACTTTCTCAACTTCCGTGTAGAATCAACTTTTTACTTTTTCTATTATACAAAAAACACTTATTTTACCAAACACTGCCAACTTTTACTACTAATCACTTTTCCCCCAAAAGTGCTTTTATTTAAGCACAAATGGTTGCAAACAAAGTCGTAGTATATGTAGTGAAAACAAATTAAAGGAAAATTATGTAAACATAAAGTACCAAATCACAAAAAACAAACAAACAAATATTACCTCCGTTCCCTTTTAATTGCAACATTGGACTTTGTACACTATTCACATATTCTATTTTGACTATATTTTATTAATTAATGCATTATAAATTAAAATTTTAAAAAATATTGTTAAATTCTTCTTATTCTAAATTTTCTAAATATGATTTTTTTAAATTTTTTTACTAATAAGGAATTAATGATATTAATGGTCAAACTTGTGCATTGGCAAACGTGAAATGTTGACTATTGCAATTAATAGAGAACGGAGGAAGTAATAGTCAAATTAAAGTGAGAAATGAAGTTACGCGTTCACAATTAAGCCACCAAAAAAATTAAATGGTGTAATAATAATAGAAAATATCCTCAATAAAAAAGAGCAAGAATTCCAAATAGCTACATGTTCCAGTACGTGCGCTCAAGGTCTTCCAGTAGTTAACTTCATGCATGAAGAAACCATACATAATAATGCTTTAATTACTTTTCGCCTGTTTTTATTACAATTCATTTTTCAATGTCAGATAAACTCTATGCTTCACCTTGTTTTTAATTTTAGAGAACTTTGAACATACTTTTTATTACTTTCGGAATCCATATACAAATCAAAGTAAAAGAATAAAAGATGATAATGGGATAGATAGATAAAGTAAAAAAGTTTCGGTTGACTATCACAATATTCATATATAAATATCACAAACTTAAACAAAGAATAAGCTTGCAAAATGCTACAAATGACGAAATTGTAAGATGAACAACGTAACCCCAAACCCCAAACCCACAAACCTGAACTTTTGCACACCAAAAAAAATACCTTCGAAAAGATGAAGCACTTAAATATAGCCCCCAAGATTATTAAACAGGTTCATTTTTTTAATGGTTGATTCGATATTTTATTGCCCCATACTGGCCCATGAAAGATTCTGCTTTGAGTTACATCATACTGCTTCAACTCCTCCTCACTGATTTCCCGACCTAAACCGGCGTCAGAACAGACTATGATCGGAGGAAGACCCAAAAAGGGCAGAAGTCCCATAAAATTAAAAATGTTAGAATACAGCCTTCCTGAGAGTAGACAGGCAAGTCTGACGTCCATAATGGATAGCAATGAATATAGCAGCAATATATAGTGCATAATGCAACAGGAGATAGATATGTGAATAGATTAGTTCGTGAATGAGCCGAACAGATCATTAAATAGATTCATTAGATAATGTTGTTTGCATTGGAATAAGAAAGGTCATCCTCCAAAGGTCATGCGCCGTTCTCTATTTGCATTGTTAAAAGAGTAGCAGCATTCATTACTCTCCAGCCGTGTCACCCAAAATGCTATTCCAAAATGTTACATTATTCCCGCCCAAAATCTTCCCCACTATTTTGTTATTATATATATATATATATATATATATATATATATATATATATATATAGATTAGCGAGAGATCATAGAAATGAAGCTTTGGAGAAGAAGATGTTTATTATTCAAACCGTGATGATCAACATTCAACAATGTACGTGAGAATATATAAAGTGATCGAATGATAAGAAAGTCAGCTAGCTAAACAACAAACTACTTCGTATTAATTAACTCGACACATGTCTGTGAGTTGGTATTGGTCCTCCTCTTTAGCCCATTTACCCGGTTCCCTGTTTCATGAGTTGGTTTCTCATTAAGGCCCAAGTGGGCCGTCTGGGTGTCTGGCCCATCCACCCCTCCTTTGTGCTCATTTAACCCATCCCGTTGAACCCCTTCTGGAACTACCTATTTATGCTCTCATTCTCCTCTCTTGTTCATGAGTTGCTGAGTGTGTTGCCCTAACCCTAGAGTGAGAGAGAGTTCGGTGTATTGCCTTGGTCTGAGCTCCGGCTTACCTCCGGTGATACCTCGGTGTCCTGTTTGGGGCTTCACTCTGGGTTAGTTCTTTGGGGTTTTCTTTACCGGTGCGTTCCTGAGTGGTCCTGTCAGGGGTTGGGGGTTTGGGCTCCGATAATCTGAGTGTTTGTGACTAGATGCCCTTGCTTCTCCCTTGTGGTCTCCTCTGGTGGTGAATGGTGAGCAAGCCCTTGGGCTAAGGTGACTGAGGTCTGAGCCGGTCCAGAATCCCAACAGTGGTATCAGAGCTGGAAGCTACCTCCCCTCGCCGACGCCGGAAACTCACCGGAAGCACTCCCCATAGCGGTAACGCCTCGGCCTCTCCACGCGTTAGGTAAGTCGGGTTGTCTGATCTAGACTCCCGCTCAGGTATAACTGCTTGAACCCTAATCTTGGGCTGCCGGAGTGCCACCGGCTTATGTGTTGTATGAGTAGATCTGAAACCCTAGGTCTTGGATCTGCTGAGTAGAAACCCTAGTTTCTCCGTTGCATGTGCAGACTCTGTATAGACAGATCTGCAGAAACCCTAGGCTTTGTGAACTCGTGCATGGGTGGTACTAAT